GTTGTCATTGCCTGACGTTACGTGCGCGTCGGCACGTTTCAAAAGGAGAAGAAGAAGCAACGGCAGCAGCAGCAGCAACAAGCAAAAGTAAAAGAACAAGACTAAAAGAAGAAGCAGAACATGCGATGTTTTATTTATTATTATTTAGCATGGATCGATTAGCATGCGTTTTGCTTTTGGCCATTGAACAAATACGATTAATCAAATGAGCCATAAATAAATACATATATATATGTATGTGTGTGTGTGTGTTTTGTGCGCTCGTCTCAATATAAATGGCTATTTAATTAGACAGCAAGTGCAGGAAACGGGCACTGGCGGTAGATGGCGCCACCAGCACATAATTAGCAGCAACAGCGACCGCATTTAGTTTCAATTAACAAAAAGTCAACAATTGTTATTGCTTAGTGTTAATTAAGCGACAACAACAATGACTGTTGCTGCTGCTGCTACTGCTGGGCTTCAATTGTTATTGCCGCGTGTTGAAGTCATTGACATTTTGCACATTGCAACAAGAGATGCGCGTTACAAAATGCTAGTATTGCCAACTTGTGCAAACAGACAACAGAGGGCGTTAGCGCTGAAATAAATGAGAGGGAGTGAGAGGGAGAGAGGGCGAGTGCGGGCTAACGGTTGCAGTTGTCAACATTTAGCAAAAGTGCGATAAAGAAAAACCTATGAGTCGGTCGAGTGTGGTGCGGCTAGTATAACTGACGAGCAGATACCGTGGGATGACTTACATTAAATTTGACACTTAACAATATTTGGCTTGTGCGCTTTGTTAACGAAATAATTTTTATATAAGTTTGATTTATTAAATTATTTAATACTAGTTTTGCCTACCAATGAATTACGATAAATATTTAATATTTTTGGCTAGAAATAAAAATAAAAATGATCTATTATTATTGCTTCTTTAATAAATGAAAGAAATGACTTATAAAAACGTATGAAAATCGATAAGTATTGATTTATATATTTATCGATTTTGTAAATTTTTGCTGCTCATTAGATAGGCTATAATAATTTGTCGTTCTCTGCCTAGATCTGCTAGATACCCTCTACGAAAATCTTCATAATGTACAGAGTATGTTGACAACGCTACAAAGTCTTTAGACATGCGGGCTCCGTGTCTAGGCGTGTTTTGCTTACCATAAAAACCATTCGTAAATATGACTCGAAAGCCTGGCGAATCGACAACACAAGAACTGTCTCTAATAGCAATGACAACAGCTCATAAAAATTGCAATTGCAGCAATGACAACAACAGCAACTCGAAACAGATATGACTAGAAAAAGAAGAAGAAGCTCGCTAAAGCATGGCAAATAAAATTGTCTAAATATATATACATATTTTTCTATATCTGTGCGAATGAGCTTAAAGACGCGTCCACAACACACAAAACAACACTTGACATTAATGAATGCAATCGCTTTGTTGCTGCCATTTGCACACAAAAATAACAAAAATACGAAAACGAAAATGAAAAAACAAAAACAGTACATAAAAATTAATAATAGTCTTGGCTGATTAGATATTACAGCACCAAGTAAACAAGTCGTTAAAAACAATTCAAAATTTACATGCACAACAATTTGCATGCTTGCACACTGTACCAGAGGGCATGGTCACACCGGCAAGGCAAACATAATGGATATTTAAAGAGAATAGCAAGATATGTGCATGATTCAACCTAAACTTGTTTCAAGAATGCAAATTTATAGGCCTAGCTAGCATACTGTGCTTGGGCAGCAGAGGGCATGGTCACACTGGCAAGGCAAACACTAGCAATATCGCATAATGCCACTGAATTGTCAACTAATCTAAAAGTTTGTCAATTAAATGTATAATATTTTTAGAGGCTATCCATGTATTATATTTTAGACATTAGTCAAGGGCAAATTATATACAAATTTGTAGTAATTGGTCAGTCGATTCTGCAGTTTTGGATTAATAATAAGTTGTCGCAATTAATCGATAAATTATCGAAAAGGACCATATATTAAAAAATGTTGCTGAAGTAGCTTGTAACTGAGTCAGCTATGATTTTTTGACCGGGTGGCAACGCTCAGATATATGCTTGAGTTAAGCAAAAAAGATACCACAATTAAATGCTAAAAGTTTATGCTCAGATATATATAGATTTATGCGTTTATATGTTCAGATTAACTGATCACTAGGTCACACTGTTTATCCAGCTCTAGCCACACACACATTACGTGTGCATAAACATTTTGGCTTTGGTCTCAATTGCAGTGGCCAATGCGGAAGTACTTAGATCCGAATCACACACTAAATTACATACTATATATACACTATATATATATCTATAAAATATATAAAACGAACATGTTGCACATTTTATTTATGCGTTTAAATTCCATCTGATGATGATGTTGTTGACTAGACTTTTATTTATATTTATAGACAAAATGACTATACAGGGTATATTGCTCTATGTATATATATTATATATAATATACATATATTAATCCGGAGTAACATTCATTTAAATAGATAGATGCACATTAGAAAGATATTTAAATAAAGGCCGAGTCACACAGCCTTTATTTAAATATTAATTAGTCTGGGTATCTGCTCGTCTGATACTACCTGTTAGATTTCTCTCACTCGTTACATACATATATGCTTTGCATCAATCTACATAGTTCGCTCTAGAGCAATCGCTGACCAAAAGCCAAGCCCGACAGACGGACAGACAGACAGCGAGCACATTGTCATTTGATTTGTGTTGACGTTTGCATTTTCTACCTTAATTCAATTTAATTTTTACTCAGTTGAATTGCCTGGCTGGCGGGCTGGTTGGTTGGTTAGTTCATTGGATGCCGCAGCATGAGCAGAGGAGAAAAGGGTATTGTATTTAAGCTAAGTGTCAAATTTAGCATTGCTGTCACACAGCCAACACGTGCTATGGCCACAGAAGTCGCATGGGTTGATCGACTGTTAAATACTCTAGAAAACTTAAAACGCATAAATGAGAATAAACATGGATTAATATCAGAAGTAAATATGTTTCTGAATATTGATAAAGTCCTGTATTTCATAGCAAGTTGTTAACTATACTTTGTCTAATATGTAGCAACAAAAATGAATATGAGATAGGGTATGTCTGACTTTGAATATGCCTACACCATATAACATTGATGCTTATGTAAGCATACACATTATACATATACCACATATATATAGAATGATATACTATATAAAGCAATTCAGTGAGTTGAACTAAGATCAAGATATACCTATAAATTGATAACTTTATATATATTCTGTTCATTTATACGCATCGTTGTAATCAAAAGACAATTTGAATCACTTACCTTAATGCTGCTATCTATCAAAATCTTTCTCTCTGTCTGTCGTCTATCTGTATGTCGTCTGTCTGACTGTTGTCTGTGCTTTGCTCTTCACAAGGTTTTTATTTGTACTCGTGAGAGTGGGCGAGGGGGCAATATCTGATTGTGCCAATAATTATGCTGCATGCAAACAAGTAAAAGTGTTCTGCTTGAGTGCGTATTGCCAGGAGATACCCTGTTTGTATGCATAGACGTAACATTAATATCAAATTTTGAGATGAATACCAAATTTCGTTAATATAGCATAAAAATAATGCTAGTTCGATAACGATAATAATCGATTTGATAAAGGAAACACAATCGATAGTTTGAAACTTCATTTGACTGTTATAAAAGACAATTCAAATACTAGACTACTGTTGCTGATCAAATATATATATATATGTATATACTTCAACTTCATCTGCCTGTTACATAAATAAGAAAACATCATATCCTATTTAATCAAAACTCACAACGAAATAGAAAAGAAAAGAAAAGAAAATCAAGTAGTGCTGTTTCTTTTCGGGGTCTACAACATTTTGCCATTGCACTAATTGTTTGTTGTTTACTTCTATGGCTCAGTTTTTTTTTCTTCTTCCTCTTCTCCCTCTTTTGATAAGGCGCGACAAACGACGCCCACTTGACATGAACATTCTTTGAAACATAATTGACAAATTTGCACTTGAACTACTGTGCGATGTGCCTCAACAAATATAAATACAAATAAATAAATATTTTCTATATCTATAATATATGTATATATAATCGTAAATGATTTATAAGAGCTTCAAATAATTTCGCAATTTCGTTTGGAATTTATAGGGTATCTATTTGCTTATCGCTAGCAAACAGAAAAACTAATCAGCCATTGACCAGCAGATAAGCAACAAACAGAAGCAGGAAGTCAAGTTTAGCGCCCGATAATTAATCAGCAATTGTTTATCAGTTTTATCGATATATTTGGCAACACTTACGAAATATTGCGCAAGTCCAAAATTTGTCAACCATTTGCAATCATTGGGGTCTTTTGTTATCGTTATCACCTATCGTTATTTCTTATACATTGATCATCATTGGACAGAAGACAGATTGTAGAGACTGTTATAAACATATATCGATATGTCTGTCTAGACTTGAATGATTTTCGTTTCGAAGTCTTTCAAAAGAAAGCCAAGTCGTCTACTTTTCTAGTTATCCTTTAGCTATCAGATCATAATATCTATTTCGATCACTATTTAGGAAGAAAATATCGTAACCTCAGACTTAGAGTTAACTCTAACGAGAGATTAATCCCAAGTCTTACTTAATGCAATTTTCACTCTTTAAATATTTCTCTCTCCTTTTCTAGTTTTCTAATTTTCCCTTTTTTTTTCTTTCGCGAAAGAAATATTTCTTTTTCTTTATGCCTATATCAGTATCCCAGTCTCTTACGCCTAGTCTCATATAGACATCTTATTTTGTTCGACTCTCGCTTTCTGTGCCTTTCTCTGCGATTTTCATAAATTCAATTAAGACAGCTCAGCTGTCTAGTTGAGTCATTCCTTACCTCCAGCTCCATCTCTTCTTGTATTATAATCTTACTTGGATATGCATTAATTTTCCAGGCTGATATTAATGTTATTTTTTGCTTTCGCTTTTAGGCTCATGGTCCCATTCCAGATCTGAACATCAATGTCGTCCGCCACAGCGCATTGGTCTATACGCTGACCCTAGAGGAGCAGGATGACATGTACTGGCGCTTCTACTTATGCATCAACTGTCAGCAGGTGCTGTTCGCCCGATACTTCGATGGGGAAACGCCGCGGAATGCCTTTTACGTCAACAAGGACCTGCGGTGCAGCGAGCAGGAGCTAAAGTATAGACGCAACGATAAATCGTATTCGGAAACGTTTCAAATCCTAATCATGGATAACGACGATGCGGCACACGATGCGGCTATAGCTGATGCAGCTCCGCCAGCGTCGACGTCGGGCGTGGTCAACTCATCATCCAGCCTGAGCATTGGTTCGCTCTCCGCTCCGATGGATAGCAGGCTGCAGCGTCTAAGACAGCTGGATGTCTGCCACAAAGCAAGCGTCCAGGCCGAGATCATAGCCACCAATGAGCGCGTCGAACGCTATACGCATCACCAGTTTGCGCTGCTCAAGAGCTATCAGGAGAAAAACAACCAGGATTTGGCGCTCTTGGAGCGTCGCATCAAGCAAGTACCTGAAAAGACATGTCAGCTGCTCGACGAAGGCCAGCTCGTTGCCCTGGAGGTAACGGGTCTTGGCGTAGTCGGAGGCGGGGCTGGAGCTGCAGTTGCTGCCCAATCGACGTGTGTTGCTCGACGTCGAAATACCATAAGTAGCCGACGGGAATTGGGTATGCCGATCACGCCCACTTCACCTATGACGCAGCCGCCCAACTTTTTGGGGCTCGCGCAGGAGCAGCAGCAGCAGCAGCAACAACAGTCGCAGCCTCCGCTGCCCAGCACCACAATATTGAGTGCGCGCAAAATGTCGAACTTTGATACACCGCCTGCCACACCAGAAGCCACGCCCATGAGCGTGGGCAACAGCCCCACCTTTAGGCAGCAGCAGCAACAGCAGCAGACGCAGCAGCAACAGGCCTCAGCTCTGGCCAACAACAGGTCGCTGCTGACGACACCAGCTGCCGCTGCTGATGATGCCGACGATTGTCTCTTTGATCTGGAGGATGTCGATGGACCACAAGGCCACACATCCCACAACTATGAGCAGCAGCAGCAGCAGCATTATCAGCGACTGCAGCAACAACAGCATCAGCACCATCAGCAACAGCAACAGTTGCTACATCAGCACGAGGACAACATGAGCGATGCTGATGAGGCCGAGGGTAAGTCAGGACCAACTATGGGTCCTCTTTTAAGCTCTATCAATATTTGTATAATGTACTCTAACTCTTCTCCGCCTGTCTTTTATTATAGATGCCCTCGGCTTGGATAGCTCATTGCCCATAGCGATGCGTGGAGCTGGAACTCGAGGCTCTTCCTCGGCGCAGATGAATTTTGCGAATTTCGCACGGAGTCTGCCCGTTGAGATAGCCAATTCTCCGCTGGCGGAGCGTGCCAATAATAATAACAATCAACAGCATGTGCTGCTCGAGGACGAGGAGGTGAGTGGCAACTAGCCAAGGCAGCATAGCATATTTTAACTTTGCCTCTTTCTGTCTCTGTAGGTGCTGGACAATACGGTGGACATAGCAGCTAGCATCAAGGCCTTGGCCAGGAGTGTTCATGGCGAGGCAGTCTTTGGTGATTTGCCGCGTCCACGCTTGCGTTCACAGATCTAAGCAAGGGATATGAAATCAGCAACAACAACAACAACGTGCACCATAATTTGTTAATATAAAAGTGAGGAGCAGTCCTCAGTTGTTTATGCTAAACTAAATTAGTTTGCTCAAGTTAAAGTTTGGACTCTTGAAGCGCCTTCATTAAACACACACAACACACACCCACACCCACACACACACACGCATACTATGTATATGTATATATACATATACAACTGCATATGCATATGCACCCTAAAATTTTAATTAAGATACAAGAAACGAAATGTTTTGAAGCAAATTCATGTAATTTTTCTCAAATTCTTTTTGGAAATACTTTCTGCTTCCTTTATATATTTTTTGATAAGTGGAAATGTGAAAATTGTGTATTTTCTTTTGCAACGTACGAAAAGTGTTGGCCGCCGTCACATTTGGAATTAATTAACTGATGATGTTGTTAGTTTATACAATGAATTCATTATATATCTCTATGCATACGAAACAAAATACAAAAATACAAAAAGTGCACATGAACCAAAACGTGGTTAACTGTAAACAAACAAAGTTCAATTGAATTGTTTTCTTTTATGCGAATAGCGAATTCTATTCTAAATGCCATAAATTTGATAAGATGTAGAATGCTGGAAACTGAATGCAAGCAGATAACAAAATCGTCGCTTTACCAGCTACTTACATGAATAAATTTAAACTGTTTCCCAAACTTTACTGGGTTGCTAACTAGAATAGATCCTTAGAGTGCGAAGATCTGTAGAATTTAGTTGAGTTATTCTCGTCACTTAAACTCCTGTTTTGGGATACTTGGATATATAAGCAAACTGACCTATCTATAGTTATGTTTTCTGAGAACTAACTGAAGTCTCAGGCAATACAAAGCGACTAGTCAATAGAATTGATTGTTTTTATAGTCAACCTATGGCAGCTCGACTTTATGATTAAGACCCACAAACCAAAGTGTTAGCAGGATCTTCTGCCTTTCACTGCAAGCATTTCCGCAGCTCAACTTTAAATAGAAACTGAAAGAGAGAAAAGTCAAATATCATTCAATTATTTATACCTTTCATAGTTTATAAACATATTTATATTTTTTTGGTTTTTTTCTTTTTCTTTTTTTTTTTTTTGGAAAAACTACAAATCGCTTTAACAAATTATTTTGTTGCTACTAAGATAGTTTGGGGGCAGTTGGACTAAGTTGACATGCAGCTGGCATAACTTATAGCTAAAGGACTACGACTTAGGACTAAGGCTTAAGGATTAACTTTACAAATGTAGAGGCCCGTCTTTGACTTTAAAAGATAGCCGACAGGCGTTCGATCTCGAGCAGATCGGCGAGTATCTCCTCGGTGCGCGTGCCAATCTTTTTGGCCACCTCGCTGCGCTCCGAATGGGCCAACATGCGATACGACCAAATGAGATCGCCGTCGATGATGCAGCGCGACGGATTGATGCCCATTTTCTTGACCGTCTTGATCGTACGATATTCCTTCGGGTTTAGTCCACACAAGTGATCCTGATAGGAGAGCAGGACGTTCTGCAGCATAAGGAAGCGACGATAGACCTTTTCTGGCAACGGCAAGCAATAGCCCAGGGCACCATCGAGCGTGCCATAGATGACCAAATGCTTGTTCTCGTAGAGGAAGGGCTGTCGCTGATGCACACCCCGCTGATGGCATTGCACACGGAACATGGTGTTCACCACCTGGCCCAGGTGGTAATCCGCTTTGCGCAGAAGCTTTTGTCCGCCCAGAGATTCGCGCGATTCCGGCTGATACATGTAGACAATCAGATTGCGTTCCGCATCCGTGACCAGAAAGCCCAAATTCGAGTTGTCCACCATGAATTCGATGCCAAAGACCTCGAGAGGATTGAAATCGCGCGAGGCCAGCGACAACGTGCGATATTCCTCCTGGAAACGCAGCAGACTGATCGACTTATAAACGTCGGCTATAAAGATCAACGACTTGACTGTAATTATCTGATGCACATAGATGTTCGTATCGATGAAGGCGACGCCAATGAGATCGCCGTCGCGTAACTGCCAAATGTAGATCTTCTGGCCGAGACCCGTCACCAGAAAGCCAACCACATCAGAGATGGCCGAAACTGGTCCCTTCTGCTCCTTCTTGAACACCTCCTTGAGCTTGAATTTTGTCATCGGCTTGCCAGGCTCTGGCACCACTTCAATAATATCATAGATATGGATATTGCCGCGACTGGTGATATCTTCGCTATAGTTGAAATTTGTGCCGATGCAGAGATATTCCTTTAAGCCAGATCGCGTGCCCTCGTACGAGAGCTTCACAATCTTAAAGGCCGTCACATGCTCCCACGGCTCAAATTGTATTGAAGCGTCCGGCACAATCTCCCATGTCTCGGGACTAATCAAGACCATTTCGAACTGCGAGCCAATTGGATAAATGAAGCGTTCGCCTCGACTCTCCTCGGACAGTTCCTTGTCCTCGCCATTGAAGCGATAGTATTTGGTCATCGGCTCCTCCTTCTGCGTGATCAGGCAATAAACTCGATTCTCGCGATGATAAACCAATTGACGCGGCGTGCAGCGCAAGGGCACCTTACGCACCGGCCAGGCGGCATCATAGCTCAAATAGGTGGGCAGCACAGAGATCTTTAGCTCATAGGTGGTATCGAAGTAGAGAAAACCATGCGGGATATTCACATTATTAAAAGCTGCAAAGCTGCGAACGTCCGCATTGCCCAACAGTCGATGAATGCGCAGCTCGCCGCGTGCAGTGAGAAACACGAAGCAGGGATTCACGCCGCACACCATAATCCCGGCCAGGCCACCCACATTGACGAAGTAGCGCAGCTTCTGCACGTATTTGGGTTGCATATTATACGACTCGGCCTCATCCGTCTCCTCCTCATTGATTAGTTCAATGTGTGTGGGCTGTTGATCGAGCAGATGCAGTTGCTCCAGCTTACGAAAACGTATCTTCAAATGTCCCTTGGCGTAGCGGAAGACCTGATAGATGAGCAGCTCTAATCGAGTGCGCACCAGTAACAAGGGTCGCTCGCCATGCTGACCCAGGCCCACGAGGCACAGTTCGAGGGGCAGCGGCGAGTTGGCATGCTGCGGCATACAGGCATGCAAGATGCCCGCTTTGGAGTTCTCCTGCGTCAATGAAATCGGAACGAATTCCATGGCGTCTGTGAGAACTAGTGCACCATTGCCCACGTCGTTGACCAAATAGACGAGCTTCATGTCCGGCATCGAATAGATCTCCAGCGTGCCACTTTGTCGTGCCACAACCAGCCAATAGCTGGGCTTCGCCTGCACCAGCTGGCGTCGCCACCAATCCGAATTCTTTTGCTTCGACTGCTTGGCCAGATCGGCCATGCTGTTCAATTTGAAGGCATTGCCCGCATCGCCATAGAGCAAGTCCTCCTCGTCCTCCACCTTCATGTGCGGCTCGGCCTTCATGTAGCCGCCAAAGCTGTTGGCGAATCCCGTCCCCGTATTCCCCGTCAAATTGAGCACATCGTCCGCTTTGCATGTGAATAGTCCGGACAGATCCTTGTACGCTGCGCACGCAACCACAGCTGGCGAACTGCTGATCGTATGCTTGTTAATGGCCAAGCGAGGAGTGCCACGTGTCTCGCGCAACGCCAACGTAATGACCTGGCCATTGAGCACACGCAGACAGACATAGGGATCGGCTATGGACACCTGCACCACGGGCGAGCCTACATCGATGGGCACGTTCTGGATGAGTCGTGTGCCCTGCAACAGTCGCACGTGACGCGTGGTAACCTGCGTGGAAAAGTGATGTCAAATTAGTGCATTTTCCTTCATTGTTGCAATATAATTTTACCTGCACTATAAACCGCTGCTGGCCGAGATTACCGACATATATGGTCGGCTGGTTGACAGTGAAGCCTGTGTTCTCGATCTCATTGATCTCCTGTCCCGTTTGCAGGACGAGCGTCGAGGATCGCTGTGAGAGTAACATAAAATCATGCTGCTCTTGACGAGCTGTAGACGGCTTGCGTGTTGCATCATCAAAGACCGTCCACACATCCAGACAGCCATCCAATTCGAAGCTGGTGATGATCTGGGGATTGATGCAGTTCACAAAAACAGAGAGAGCGCCGTTTTTACTGTGTCCTGTGGCAGCGACAAGCTCGATCTTTAGCTCATTTAGGGACTCGGCATGTGGACGCAATGTGGTGCCGTCCTCTTCGAACTCCACACGCTCGCCGGCGCACATATAATTGATGGGAGCCACATTGATGAGGCTGTCGCAGACCTCAAAGATGAATTTGCGTAGCTGCAGCACTGAAGCTTTGGCACCCGAGCCATAAACCTCTAGCTCTTCGTCCTCAATGCGACGCGATTTTGCTTGCGATGGCGCCTCGTGCTGGTCCACGTCAAAGACCTGTTCCTCATCCAATTGTGGAGGCGATTGATCAATCGATTGCTGCTGCTGATCCACTACTGCTGCAGCTACAGCTGCCGCTGCTGCCGCCGCTGACTCCATGTCGTCCAAGGTAATCACGGTGCTCTGATCCTCTTCGGTGAAGTGCAACAGCAGCGAGTTGCCCAGCCGAGAGCCAAGGAAGATATATTCCGTGTGACAGACACAGATGCAGCTGGTGAGCACGCTGGCCGCCGCTTTGTGGAAATGAAAATTGCGCACAGTTCGCATGGAATCAACACAGAGGGTCAAAACATAGAGATCTCCGGTGCGCAGCGATATAACCAATTTATCCACATCAATGAAAGCGAAGTTCGCACAGTCCAAGCTGAGGCGCACATTGTCCTGCGGCTTGAGCGGAAAACTGGTGCTGTTATCAGCAGAGCTATTCAGGCTAACGCCATATGGTGGCACGCTCTGATTCAGATAGATAATCGCATTCACAGTCATAACCAAACAGCCACCAATGGGCTTCTGTATGGGGAAGACATGCAGGCAATCGTATGGCAAGCTATTTACCGTCCAGATGATTGGATGCACGCGTTGCTGTATGTTCAAGGAGATGGCCACCAGTACGCAGGTGTCGGAGCGTACCTTAATGCGGCCTGCACAGGTGCGTACTGGCTCGTAGAGTATTAGCAGAGTTGGTTCATAATATCCATGCAGAAATTGTATGTCTAGCACGTTGTCTAGCTTCTCGTCGAGATCAGCTAAGGCTATTAAATAGGATGCCATAATCGGTGTTCGTGTAACCAATGCAGTGGGCGCCTTCTTAATGGGCTTCACGTCTGCTAACTCGATTTCGTCGAGACTATTGTCCTTGCGAAAGGGCAGCACCACCAAACGTTTGCCATAGACAAGCATTACAGCACATCTGGCATCTGGGTCCACTCGCACCACGGGCACATGATAGCGGCCTGTCCAGCCGCCCCGTATGTCTTCTTCTTCGAAATAGTGCAAAGAGAGTGTTTTTAATGTTTGCGTATCTGCATCCAGCTGCAGCACCGAAAGCTTTGCATCTTTAAAGCTCACAAGCAAAGCATCTCGCATACCCCCAGCTAGGGAGACACTTTGCAGAGACATTACATTTCCATAAAGGGAATAGCTTGCCAAGCATTCGAGACGCATTTTAGGTGCTATTCGCATTTCGCTTGGATTTAATTTCTGGCGCTGAGTCGCATCCACATTGGGTGCAATGCGATAAACCTTGAGCACATTGGCACCGGCTACGACCAGATTCTCCTCGACATTATTGAAGAAGCGGCACGATATGGCGAATTCCACGGATGTGGCCGCGTGTGTCTGTTTGCACATAGAAAACATCTTGGCGGGTTTATGAATGATAATTTAAACAAAACAACTAATTAAAACATTTCCCACTCAGCGATAAAGTAAAAAATCTGCCGGCGTTGTTTACATCTGTTTGTCCATCTGCAAAACTATCGATAGTTGCAACCTTATGGATGGTAAGATCTCGATAAGTCAAAAAGGTTTAAATATCAAATATACACTGTATATTAATATTATTATTTGTTAATTTCTTAGCTTTCGTAATTAAAATGTAATCCCTGCATTTTGCCTACTAAGTATCGCAATGCCAAACAATTGACCCAATTGACCAATTGTGTTATATGAAATTGAACATACAGTTCAATAAATTATGTTTAATGAAATAAACTTACTCATTTTGAACGCATGCACTGCATACATTTAAACATATACACCTATATACCACAAGCACTATCGATAGCTGTGGAAAATGACTAGTTTGGTCACTCTAGCGATGTCATCAATATCGATAGTATTGACAATTGTTTAGCAGCTCTAGTTCTAGTGTAGTGCAGTTTTTAACATCCCTATTGCTCTCAAACTGGGAGCCCAATAACTATAATTTAACCATTAAATAAATAAGCTTTAAATATTAGAATGTGAAACGGCAAATGTGTGTTATAAATGTTTAGTTTTTAGTGTACAATATAACAACAATTTCATTCAATTAACTGGAAGCTATTTTCTTTTTTTTTTGCTGCGTAGCTTCTCTCCGTACGCGTAACAAAGACAGCGGTTGGCGTGCAGCCAAAGCATATGTAAACGCTTGCGTAAGAAAGAGTCGACGCCATAGAGCACAAGAAGCAGAAAAAGAATCCAAAATCTTGTAGCTCTCTGCTTCTGCTTTTGTTTGTGTCTTTGCAACAACCATTCAATATATTATTTTTTTATAAGGTGCCTAAGAACTAACATTAATTAAATCAAAGTATTGGTACAATTTGAATTACTGCTGGAGTAAAACGCAATTAGCAAAAGCCAAAACAAACCACGCAAAAAGTTTTTATACGTGCGTGCATGCGTGTGTGTGCGCATTATAATTACATGTGTGTGTGACTAGATATATGTGTGTGTGAGCATACATATGTATTATTCCTGCAGGGGCAAAAGCAACAAACCAACCAACTTTGCTTTGCTCTCGTTTTAATGTTGTTGTGTTTGTTATTGTAGGCAACAAATTCACGGCGGACACACACATATATATTAATATATATATATATATATAAATATATATGTATAAAAAGGAAAAGGCAAAGAGCAGCAAATGAAAATTAGCGTGTGTAATAAATGTGTGTGTGAAAAGTGACTGGGCGTAAGGGTTTTTATCGCAAAGGTAAAACAAAACACGGACCAAAATAATTGTTGTAAGGCTGTTGTTGTTGCGAGGAGGCAAAATTTAATTGCCGCCCACCCTGGCGCCTATTGAAATGGCTAAGACTGCTGCTGGCCAGGTTAGTTGTGATTATTATTAATTAAAAATATACATTTCATAATATTTTTTTTTGTAGTATGTTCGTAAAAAGCATTTAAACTGCCGCCTGACATGGACTCAATAACAAAAACAACATCGATACGAAACATTGCTGAGCCGAGTTGTAAATAGTTAAAAATATATGAAAATGAAAACGATAACGCCGGATACATTAACATCAGCATCAGCCGCGCCGCAACATCAGCAGCAGCAGCCTCAACATCAGCAGCAGCTGCATCTACAGCAACAACATAAACAACATTTGGCCGCCATCATTCCACAACAACAACACATAACACCTGTGATTATGGAAGCAACAGCGCATGTGAATCTCGTGGATGACGATGATGAAAAGGATCCACTGGCATTGGAGCACACAGCAGTAACAGAGGCGCCACAGGAACAACAGCAGACACATAACTCAACACTGGCGAATAAGCACACACATAGTCTGAGGTTAGCAACTTGTTTATAGCTTTGTACATAACTGTATTAATATATTCAGCTCTCCTCTTTACAGACGCCACCTGCCACGCATCATTGTGAAACCTATACCACCTGAGAAAAAGTCAACGCTACCTAGTGAGGATGTGTTGCTTAACGCTGGTCTACAACCAGCTCCAGCGTTGTTTGTGCCACCAAGCATTGCCTCGACAACGGTAGCAGCAACAGCGACTACTATTGCTGCTGCTGGGGCTATTACTGCACCTACGCCCGTGCGCGGCATCAGCAGTCGACGCATACAACAACAACAGCAAGCCAAAGCAGCTGCAGCAGCGGCGGCGGCAGCTGCAGCAGCAGCAGCGGCGGCTGCCGCAGCAGCTAATGCAAATGTGACTGCCTCACCAGGCAGCGGCAAAGCAGCAACCCAAACATCCACAATGCGTGAGGTGTTGGCTTCGATACCGGGCTTTAGTGTGAAGCCGCGTCGTCGCAGCAACAAAAAGTTAACGACTGCCGCGCAAATTGAGCAGACAAAAGATGGCAAAATCGATTTGGAAACACCCGATTCGATATTGGCATCGACGAATCTGCGCGCCCTGCTTAATAAGCAAACATTCTCATTGCTGCCGCCGCTGTATCAACATAATCTCATACAGCTGCTGCCGAGCGTAGATCGTGAGGCCAGCGAGGTGGTGCAGCACCAGCAACAACTGCAACAGCAGCAGCAGCCAGAACAACCATGCACTAGCAGCAGCAACCCAGAAGCAATTCGTTTAAGCGCCTCCTGCCTGAATAATGAGTTCTTTGCACGCGCCTGTTTGGAGTGGCGTGAACGTCTTAGTGAAGGCGAATTCACGCCCGAAAATCAAATTAAGCTGAAAACGGAAGCGGAACGCGAAAAGAATAAGTTAGATCCATGGAAGGTCAAGCATTTCGAACCCTATTGGGGCGAAAAGATTGCAAAGCGTGCGCCGAATGTAAACCCGCCTAGTAGCAAAATAAAGCTCGAGCCGATAAGGCAGCAGCATCAACAACAACCAATAGCTGCAGCACCGGCACCGCCACCAACAACAACACAGCAGCAAAAACTACAACAAGCAACATGTGATAATGAGACTGAACTGAAATTTAATACGGTAATTTCTAAATACATTATAATATTAAATTTTGAATTAGATAGTTATTAGCTAACCAAATATTGATACACTAATCAACTAATTTCCCTTATATCCTCCAGAGCACAAAGTGCGAATTGACAACCACAACAACAGCAGCAACAACACCCGAAACATCTGGTTGTGCCGCATCAGCTGCAACAGAAACAGCACAAGCAACAACAATAACTGTTGCAACAGAAACAACAATCAGTAGCAGCAATGCTTTAACGGAGCAACAGCGACGCCTGCTTAAACGACCGTCGAGTAGCCCTTCGCGACGCAAGCGCAGCGATCCGATTAATATGGCTGAAGAGAAGGAAGAGCTGCCTAGCACGTCAAAAGAGAGCAAACAAATGAAGCGTGAATCAGCTGATATTGTTCCTAATAATGCCATGGCAAATGTTCAAGATGTTGTTGATCATGTAGCAGTAGCAGTAGCAGCGACAACAACACATGCAATAACTAACAATAGCCAGCAGCCACTTATCAACAGTACCTGTGATAAAATTGAGACACCTGATGCACAGACAACAACAGTAGCAACAACAACGACAGCGACACCAGCAAACTCAACAATCACAAACGCAATACCAGCAGCAACATCAACAATTGCAGACCCAATCAGTAATTTTGCGGGCTATTTGCAAAATGTAGAGCTGGCAGAAGGTGCGTACATTATAACTGACTTAATATGTTTCATGTTCATTTTGAAAATTTCCTGTTCTTTAGATACCAAAGCAACGGATAATGTTGCCACAGAAGCAACAGCAACTGCGTCAACAACAACCAACAGCCATGATTTTGTATTTGCCGATACGATTGATCATGGTAAGCTTCTTTTGACTATTTGAAATGCTAATTAAAATGTAGTTAACTGAAATATTTACTTTAACGGTTTTGGTTGATTGTTTATGTAATAGTTTGTATATTTTGCTTTTGAATTATGACTGAATGTTTATTTATAATAGTTGAATCAATTTGTATATTGTTACTGTTTTTATTCGGACTTTTGTATTTTGTTATTGTATATTTCTCGAATTGTTATTTAAGAATCGTTTGGTTAAACTTTCTATATTTATTTCATATTTATCCACACTTATATTTTAGTATGCTTTCAGCTTCATTTGTTTATAATAATTTGTTACTGAAATCAAAAACTTTAATAAATGTTTATGCTCTTGTGTTTGTAAACTATTTGGTATAAATTATTTTTTCAAAATTTCAAATATTGAATGTATTTAGTATATGTATGTTCATATAATTTATCACCTATTATTCAAAACTCACTAAATGCCTTTTTCCAATTTTTGCTTCAATGTTCGTTCTCCATGCAGCCTACTTCCATGATCACCAAGCAGCCATCAGCCACGCCTACTACTCATCATCATCATCGCCCAATTGTAATATATATATATATATAACCATTTAGTTACTGTTATGCTTAAATTAATTCTGGTTTGTTTACCTTAGCGACAGCAACAATCATAAAGGTTAACGATCATTGTGATAAGCAGCTGGAGGATTCGGGAATGACTCTAGCTATGTCTATGCCCTTGGCTAGCAGTTCAACAGGCTCATCGCTGACCAACACCACGCCAGCTAGCTCGCTAGCATCTAGTAGTTGCACATCATCTTCGCTATCATCATCGCTCTCCTCGTCTTGCTCCAGCAGCAATTCTTCCTCAACGGCTGCAACCACAACGACAGCAGCGGGAGCGGGGGCTGCAGCTTCGCCGCTATCACTGGGAACGCCGGCGGAAACAACATTAGCCAATATGCATGCTATGCTCAGCACGGTAGCCACGTTGCAACAACAGCAGCAGCAGGAGCAACAGCATCATCAACAGGTGGAGTTGCCCGTAGAATTAAACTCCAGCGAAATGTTTCAAAATGTGCAACACGATTGGAATTTTGGTGGCATCAAATTGCTGGCACCACCACCGACGCAAGCAACTGAAAATTCAGTGGGGCGATTGCAACAACAGGTCGATCAGCATCTGAATCATGAGGACATTCAATTGATGGACGTGGTGCATGAGCCCGAGGAGGAGGAGGAGGTGATTGACGATATGGTCGAATGCCACAATCTGCTGGACAATGATGAAGAGGAAGACGGAGATGAAATCGTGGACGAGGATGATGAGGATGTGGTTGAATGTATAGATGCGGAGCAACAGGAGCAGGATGAGTTAATGAACGAAATGGTGGAACATGTTATGGATGTCAGCGGTGGCGATGCCGTGCAAGATATTGTGGACAAGCTGCAGCAACAGCAACAACAACAGCACCAACAGCAACAGCTTCAGGCGCAGTTACAAGATGTTGTGCAATTGACGCAGCATTCCTTTATGACGCAGGGGCACAGCAGCGACTTCGCGAATGAGGTAAGTCATCAAAACAAGCATCCAATTGTAGTTATAATCTAAATCCTTTCATAGATCTCCCACGAACTGCTTTGTGATGCGGTGCCCATGTCCGCTGCCGAAATGGAAGTCTCCAGCACTGTTATTACGAACAGCAGCAACAGCAATGACAGCAGCAACAATCTGAGCCTGTGCAGCAGTAGTAGCAGCAGCATTGCCATCAATCAGTTAGCCCAACAGCCAGCTGCTGCTGCGACCGCTGCGCCAGCACCGCAGCAACAGCAGCGTCAAATATTGGTGGACTCGAATGGACAAATCATTGGCAACTTTTTACTACAGCAACAACAACAGCAGCAGCAACAGCAACAGCAACAACAGCAGCAGCAACAACAACGTCAACAGCAGCAATTACAACAACAGCAGCAGCAACTATTGCAACAATTCACATTGCAAGCAGCCGCACAGCAGCAACAACAGCAGCAGGCAACCAGCAGCAATTCGCTACATAAAGCGCTGCCCGTAACCCTGCGCAAACCCTTCGAAATCAACAGCAATGGCGCACAGCAATTCTTAACGCCCAATTTGTTGCAGCAGCAGCAACTGGAACAAAAACAACAACAGCTGCAACAATTTGCGTTACAGGCTCAGCTGCATCAGCGACAGCTGCTGGCACAAGCAGCCAACAACAATCTTCTGCAACAACAGCAGCAACAGCAAATTCAGCAGCAGCAAACTTACCAGCAGCAGCAACAACAACAACAGCAAGCAGTGGTTCCACCCAAGTTCATAGCCAAGCCGCTGAATATTATATCCATGACACGACCCGCCAACGCGTCCCCCAATACAGCAGCAACAGCGGCTGTGCCCACAGCAGCTACCAATAATGTCCAAATTCCGTCCAGCTATGCAAACGTAGTGACAGCGCAACAACAGGTCAATCACAACAGCAACCTGCAGCAGCAGCAGCAGCCGCAGCAACCACAAACATTGCAGTTGCAGACCGTTGCAACAGTTAACAATGTGCTGACCATGAAAACGTTGCCGCCATCGGGCGTGCCTACAACAATTGCCCAGCAGCGACTGCAGCCAAAGATGCCCACGGGGAAAGGACGCAAGGCAACGACCAATCGTTTGCCACCAGGAGCTGTTAACCTAGAGCGCAGCTATCAAATCTGCCAGGCTGTCATACAAAACAGTCCGAATCGTGAGAACCTCAAGGCGCAGCTGCGCCCGCCAGCGGCAATTCTCAGCCAGCAGCAGCAACAGACGACGCCGACGCCAACAACTGCTGTGAGCAGCAGCAATGCAACAATTAATGTGTCCACAGTGGCAGCCACGCCCATGAATAATGTGCCAGCAGCAGCGACTGTCGCTGTGTCGGCTCCAGCACAAAATCTACTCAAGCAGGAAGAGCTGCCAGCCCTACCGCCCAATGTCCTGGGTGTGGGCAGACCGGGTGTTTATAAGGTAAGTTGTTATAACTACTCAGCAATGGGATTCTGTTAGCTAAAATCAAAACAATTTGATTGTCTAGGTCATAGGTCCGCGCATGAGCGGTTTTCCGAGGAAGAAGTACGTGCAGCGCAAGCCGTCGCCTACAACTGTGATGAGGCACCTGCTGACAGCTACGCCTGGTGCATCCAGTCCGCAACAACAGCAGCAACAGTTGGTCACGCAACAATCCAGCCAAGAACAGCAGCAGCAGCTGCTGCATCAGAATGGCACGGGTCAATATGTGCTGGTGCATCGCGCTAATGTGGGCGCAGCTGATAATCAGGCACCGCGGGCTTCCAGTGCGCCACCTTTACACCAAAATCAGGTGAGTATTAGAGTTTAATATAATTGAACTTAAACTTAACTTAAATATCCTTCTAATCGTTTCCAGTTTGTTGCCGTTCAGAATTCGCTTCACAGCCTTAATGGCATTAGTATGGGCGGACGCGGGCGTCCGGCTTCAGTGGACAACAACAATAGCACAGGCAACGATACACTGCATCATAACGAGCTGCAGCAACAACAGCAGCAGCAACAACAACAACAGCAACTCAGCAATGTCAACGCGGCTGCGAATATTGTGCGGCGCAATATCGCTGCAGGTAAATTGGTGTATTATTAGTGCTTAGCGAGGTACGTCTTTCAAATCACCCCCACACACACAACAAAAATTTAAAATCATTCACAAATTGGCACGTCATCATATTAATAATTATCATAATAGATTTGTTAGATTTATCAACTATTTGGAAAACAAAAAACAATATGTCCACGTTGACTCATTCTTTTTTCTGTTTCCACGTAACCCTTTGCGTATGCGTAACGAGTATGTAAACTGCATGCTTTTATTTTAAATTTATATGCATTCACAGCTTGATTATTACTTAAGAGTAAATGTTTTAGATCGAGTAAAATTTGTATGGTGCTGTTCATATGTTGATCTTACCTTATGTATTGTCAGCGCAGCAGGAAAGGTATTTAATTAGAAAAGCTGTTATTTAATGTTATCATTAATGATAAAACCTAAGAAATTGTTATATGAAACATTGACTCGAATATATTGTTTACTTAAGTAAAGGAACAGTTCTCTACAAATTATACTCTATAGAAATATTTCTAAATCAAAAATAATTTCTTAAAAATATACCATAATTTGTATATATAGATGAAAATAATAGGCACCATGATTAGTATTTCGATTATAGCTTAAATATTATTAAGAAGCTATCTATGTATCGTGCAACTGATGTTAGACTCTTAATATCCTCAACTGTGAATGCAGCAAATGTATTTAAGTATGTACAATTGATATTTATTTTTATTTTTCTTATGATTTTGTAATATACGGTAATATATATACGAATAAGTAAGTTCTTACAATTACTAATATCTTGGTATATTTTTAATAGGTACCAACATTACCTATATAGACAACAGCAACTCGTCGGCAACTCTTATGGATGCAGCCAATAACTACATCGTGACGACTACAGCAGCAACAACAACAGCTGCCGGAGGTTCTGTAACGACACCGCAAACAACACAGCAGCCACAACAGCAACAACAGCAACATGCTCTAATCCAACTGCATCAAAGCGGAGAGAACACGCCGCCAGGCAACGAGGCGGCCAACAATGGTTGTGCCTGTGCTTTAAACGCGATGGTCATTTGCCAGCAATGCGGTGCATTCTGTCACGATGATTGCATCAGCGCATCGAAGCTGTGCGTGTCCTGTGTGATCAGATGAGAGCTAAGCCTCCAGATGCAACTTGACAACGTATTATAGTAATATATAGAGTTAAACCTATTTAGATGCAATGCTAATGCTATATTCTGTATATACATATATATATATCGAAAAATCAGTTCGAGAGAGGAAGAGTATACAATGTTGAATACCAACCACTCCTTTTTTACCCAGACAATTTGTAAGCTAGACTATAGAAGCGAACCCAATTATAAAAACCAAGTGCAGAGGCTTAGATACACTGAAAGTAAGAAAAAATGAAAGCTAATGCTGATAAACGCTTACACGAAAAGCAAACACCTTTTGTATAAAGAAAGTTGCTATAAAAAAAGCTTAATATTCAATCAAGTGTTGTGTATTACGTGTATGTATACTCTCCAAAATAAGGGTATTACAGCAGCACATAAAAAAATTAAAATGATGAACAGATTAACAAAAAAAACACTCATTGTAATTAAAACAAAACAAAAAGGCAGCGGCAAAAGCAGCAAATAAAACCAATAAAAACCAAGCTATGTAAATATTTATGTTTAATATTAAATGTAATTTATAAATGAAAAATAGTATATATACATATATACACAATCCATACACATATATGTATATATATATATATATATATATGACTATGTGTAATTATGTTTAAGCTAGAATTGAGAAAACTTCAAACTTAGGTTGACATACGCCTGAAGACTATATTTTTATAATTTCTCGCTGCAGTTGATTCGTTTTTATGCAAATACATAAGCAACTACATAATATACATACATATACATACATGCAACTACAATACACATACATTTACATAATATATATTTTACTGTGTAATTTTTCGTAAGCCTAAGCTCTTATTATTTCCCTAATTCTAAGTTTATCATCCCACACAATCCACAAAAGAAAAAAAACATCTCTAGCATACACATTATATAGCGCATAATGTTAATTGTAATTCGCATATAAAAAATTGATTTAAATGCATAAAACTGTTGATAAAAAAATTAAAACAAACACAAATATACACTGCAACAACAACAAAATATAAATGTTAATTGAGAAACTAAAATGCAATTTAAAAAAAAACAACAAATATTATAGAGATGAGGAACAAAATTAAAAAAAGTAAAACAAAAATCATTTTGCTCCTAGATGCACTCAAAATTAACCAATAAACATTATTACAAATAAATTGAGAAAAAAAATCATGAAAAATAATAATAGAGATATTTATATTCAAGGGAACTCTGAAAAAATTGTGCTTAGTACTAAGCTTATTTTAATATAGTTTTTTTATTGCAAGTGGGTTTACCTAAGGAAAAAAATTACGTTTAATTTTAACAAAAACTATTTTATTTTTAACTAGCGAAAACAAGAATTTTCTATTTACAAACGGAGTTGAAACGTGGACACCACTAAGGCAACAATTGTCGACACCTCGGCCATGGCTCCGTTGCCCGTATCGCCGCACATCAGCGTTTTCGATATACAGGGTATCTCCTTGTAACCCCATTGAGTTAGTTTTGCTATATGCTCGCGCGTAATGGGATGATCGTACATGCGTGTATTCATGGCCGGTGCAAAGAACAGCGGCTTCTCCAAATCCCAAGCACGAACCACGCACAGCACCAAATTATCGCAAATGCCCTGCCATAAAATGTATTAAATTATATTATCTAATGTTTAATTAAAGATAAGTCAATCTTACGCTGGCTATTTTGGCTAGTGAATTGGCACTGAGGGGCGCAATTAACAGAAGGTCTGCCCACTTGCCTAGGTCAATGTGCAGTACCGGATCGCCTCGCTTATTCCAGGTGAGCCACTCATCGCGGTTATGTAAAATGGGTACATCTTCCGGCACCTGCTCTAGTTCAAAAAAGTGCTTTGCATGCTCCGTTACGATGACTTTAATCTGATAAAACGTGTATAGTTTTTATTGGAGGGAAGAATAGAAGCTTGTCAATACTTACGTTAAATTTGTAGGGCAGCTTGTCGTCGCTTAGTTCGGATATTAGTTGCACCATCTTGATGCTCGCCACGCTGCCTGTGGCTGCAATTAAAACATTGCGTTCCGGCTTCATTGTTATTGTTGTTGTTGTTTGTCGGTCGGTAACTCCTTTTCCGGAAAGCCCAGTTTCGCCCATTCTGTTTTTTCCATAAGATTATTTTCCATGCGGCACCCCAAATAGTCCCTCGCTTCTGCCCGGCACTTTGAGTTGTCGTTGTCGTTACGGCGCAAGCAACTGGCGTAAATCAAGAAATTCTTCTTGCACAAGCTCTCGTGATCTAATGGAAAGCTGCCCTTCTCTGGCGCTGTGGGTATGAACTTCTTTTGATTGTAAATCTGTGAAGTCATTTGAATAATTTGCTTATCTTAAAACCTTCATAAACGATTGTGCGACAATTATGAAATAGATAAAAGGCAAATATAATATAAATAAAAACAACTGTGAATTGCTGTGAACAAGGTTGCCATAGTTTAACAATTTATATGGAAGTGGCAGCACGATAACAAAATGTGAAATATACATATCAACAGCTGCTGATGAATAGGAAAATAAGATCAATGCATGAACAAAAAACAAAGGGAAAATTGGCATTAAAATATTTGTAATATAATTAAATAGTATTGCTGAGGAAATATTGAAGGCTTGCTTATTTCCAATAATTCTACCATTATTAAATAAAATATTTTAGCCATTTCAAGTTTTTTATCATGTCTACATAGCTGCGCACGTTTTTCAAAGTCTGGCAACTGCGCACAGAGCCGGTAAAAGCGTTGGCTTAAATTACTAGTTGATTAGGAAATGAATGACAAATACAAACGCTCATCTTGCTGATTAATTAAAATATGTTCAATCATATTTTAAATTAGAGATAAGCAAAGCCGTAGCAGTAGTTTTTTTCAATTTCTCAATATAATAGTAATATATAACAATTTGTTAGCAAAGTCTGGCAATGCTGTACACGAAGCCGGCAGAATGCAGTGGCTTAAAATATTAATTTATTTTATTTCAATAATAATATTAAATACAAATGCAAAATTTGTGCGCGATCCTAATGGATACATTGCCTACTGTCCCTGCATGGGTAAGTTTCATTAGATTTTCTAGTTTACTTATTTACATGTGTTTGTTTGTCCTTTTCAGGACGCTTTGGTAACCAGGCGGATCATTTTTTAGGCTCGCTAGCCTTCGCTCAAGCTCTGAATCGCACATTAATTTTGCCGCCTTGGGTGGAATATCGCAAAGGGGAAATGCGTTCCCGTCAGGTGTCATTCGATACATATTTCGAGGTGGAGCCGCTGATGCAGTTCCATCGCGTTATTCTCATGTCTGACTTTATGGATCACCTGGCCGATGAAGTGTGGCCTGCGAAGGAACGCATATCCTTCTGTTATATGGAACGCAAAAGCTTGCAGCAAGAAAAAAACAATCCAGACTCACCGAATTGTCATGCCAAGGATGGTAATCCCTTTGGTCCATTCTGGGATACTTACAATATTGATTTTGTGGGTTCGGAATTTTATGGTCCACTGCATTTCGATGTGCGTCACAGCTCGATAGCAGCCAAATGGCAAGAAAACTATAAACCTCATAAGTGGCCCGTTTTAGCGTACACCGGTGCACCGGCCAGCTTTCCCGTGCAGCTCGAGAATCGTGAACTGCAAAAGTACTTAAAATGGAGTCCCAAGTATAGAGAAGCCGCTCGAGAATTTATACGTACGGTACTTCCACGTGGTGCATTTATTGGCCTGCATCTTCGAAATGGCATCGATTGGGTGCGCGCCTGTGAGCATATTAAGGATAGCCAGCAGCTCTTTGCATCACCTCAATGTCTTGGCTATAAGAATGAACGTGGTGAGCTCTACCAAGAGCTCTGCATGCCCACCAAGGAAGCAATTATCAGACAGTTAAAGCGAACGATTAAAAATGTACGCCAATTACAGCCAAAGAACGAGGTGAAATCCGTATTTGTGGCATCCGATGCGAATCACATGATAGCTGAGCTAACAAATGCGCTCGCTCGCATGGATATCAGCGTGCATAAGCTACAAGAGGATGATCCTTATGTGGATTTGGCTATACTAGGACAGTCGAACCACTTTATAGGCAACTGCATATCTTCGTATAGCGCATTTGTTAAACGGGAAAGGGATACGCATGGATTTCCCTCGTATTTTTGGTCGTTTCCCAAAGAAAAGGAGCGCCAGCAAACGAAGGCTCATGAGGAGCTATAAAAGCCATGACATTTTCTGACGAAATCTCTCAAAACATATAGATATATATATGAATATATATCGTACATATATGCCAGCGTTTAGTGTTAAGCTAGAAAGTATTTATAACATTTCAATCCAAACATTGATTTAAATTACGAGGATAGTCTGACAAATATCCGACCTTACAAAATCAGATATTAATATTATAATTTAATTTAATTAATTTTAATACATTTATCTTTCAGTTTTTTTTCGGATAATTTGCAGACTATTTTCGTATAAGCTACAATTACTTAGATAATGTATTTGATTTTACTTAGAAATTTATTCAAGCTTGGTTTTTCTCGCATTCCTCAAAATAATTTATATTATGTAAAACTTTATACCACCGCTCGTATTTTATTTGTTCTTGAATGTCAGTTGTATCTCTAATGTATCAGTTTTTGCGTGCGCGCCAGATCCAGTTGTGCAGATGATACATTTGTTAGTCCCTCGCGTACGGAGCTGAGGTTCTCCTTCCAGGCCTGCAGCAGATCGCGTAGCTGTTCCCACTGTGGTGCACCAAAGGTACGATGCATTGTCGATGAGATGTGCACCTTGCGATTGGCCTGATCGAGACGGGCACGTACCAGCTTTGTCTTCAGCACCTCAATGACAAATGGTTCCACTTCATCCTCGTTGATCTGCAATTCCTTGGTCAGTGTGTCGAACGTCATCTCGGGGTAGCTTTCAGCAAGCTGCATGAATGTCAATAGACGCATTTTCTTCATGTTCTGCTCATGATTCAAGCCTTGGGAGTTCACAAACTCCTTGTGATCCTCATAGAACTGCACATACGAAGGCAGCTTGTCCGATACAAAGATGGACAACAAATCGTGTATTAGATCACCTTCCAAAAAGCGCACAGGCTTCAGTGATAGCAAAGGGTCGAGCAGGAATGTATTGGGATCGGCCAAAGCAGTGACAATGCACTTCATTGCATCCTCACGAGCAACGCATGCATTGTCTGCCGTATATGTTCCCAACAGTTCAATCATCACCTTTGACGACAGCTCCAGATTGGTATCCTTGGTCACATCGTGCAACAGGCGATATAACTTTTGCATCTGCTCACTGGATGGCGGGCAGTTGGCGAACTGCGACTTCAGTTGATCGACGCCGGTGAAGACTTCGAGCACCTGATCACACTGCTTGGCCACCTGCACCAGATGATAGTAAACATGATAGCGCAAGGGAGAGGCTGTGTCCAGATTGTTGAATAAGCGCCAAAGCGATTGCAGGCAAACTTTTGCTAAGGGCTGATTGGGCGCCTTAGTCATCTTTTCGCAATAGGCCAACACAATATTCTCGCCACGATCCAGAGGTATCTAAGAGCAGTATTTTTAATTATATATATTCAAAATTAACAACTTTCTTCATACATACTGTTATCATGATGGATACAATACTATTTAGTATGCCATCAATTTGCGCTGGTTCGCCGTCTTTGAAGCAAACTTCACATACACCAATTATTTTGTGCAAATCATCCTCGACGCCTTTGTTCGATTTCTCCGAAGAGATTTCAGCTCCAAGCTTCTTAAAATACTTGCGCAGCTCTTGCACCTGCAATGAAGACGAAAACAAATTCATTTTAATTTATGTATTTACAAGATTTGTTTTTGCACATAACCTCACTTTAAAGGGCAGCGCGGCACAGACATACGTTAAAGTATAATTGAAACATTACCTGTTCATCCAAAGACAGGTCTATAAACACCGGATGCGAAGCCATAGTTTTGCAGATTGTTTAACTATTTATTTTTAGCAAAAGAATAAACAATTTCGCACGCACACGTCGTCGTCGTCGCTGAATTGACAACTCGAAAGGAAAAGGCAAAACAATGATAGAGTTGCCACACTGTACAAAAAATATCGATACGCCAGCGATAGCAATAATTGAATTTCAAGAAATTTGTTAAATTGCCGGTCTTAAAAATGGAAGACTTAAACGACGATTCCTTTGATGATGTTTTGGCATGTATGGACATACCTACAGCGCCAAAGCAAACTAAAATACAAGCAGCTAGCGAAACAGCAACTACGAGCAGCTCCATTGCAGGCATAGCTAAGCCACCGCCATCAAATCCTCACAGCGTTTTAGTGCACACGAAGCAACGCGGTAATCCTATCCTGAAATCTATTTTGAATGTGCCTCTGGAGTATCGTGATGATATAATACCGGACTATGTGGTGGGTCGGACTGCCTGCATACTTTTCTTATCGCTTAAATATCATAATCTTAATCCGGATTACATATGTCAACGTCTTAAAGCACTGGGCAAGCTATATGAGCTTCGCGTGCTGCTTGTCCAAGTGGACACACCGGAGCCCCATAATGCGCTCAAAAGCTTAACACGAATTTCCCTGTTAGCAGATTTAACAATGATGCTGGCCTGGAATGCCGACGAGGCGGGCAAAATCATTGAAACTTACAAACAATTCGAGAAACGTCCTCCAGACTTGATTATGGAGCGCGTGGAGTCCAATCCTCACCAAAAGGTGTGTAATGATATTGGAATCCTTAAAATACTTATAATGTTTCATACTTTTTAGCTTGTAGCGGCATTGACCAACATTAAACCGGTAAACAAAACAGATGCTGTTACCTTACTTCAAATCTTTGGCAATCTTGAAAATCTTATTAATGCCAGCGAGGAGCGTCTGTCTCAAGTCATGGGATTAGGGCCACGTAAAGCCAAGAAATTGTACAAAACGCTGCACGAACCATTTCTAAGCAAATAAGCCAAGTTATTTATTACAATATATCCATTACTTATATTATACACAAAGACCTTAGAACTATTCCTGCAGCTTCCATAGTTTAATGGTACCGTCATCGCTGCAGGAGATTAGCTGACCAGCATTCACCGGATTCCATTCCACCGCATTCACATCCTGTTCATGGGCGCTCTCCTCGCCAGTTAACAGTTCAAAGCTAGGTTCATCTCGTTTCGAATCGTTGCACTCCTTAAAAATGCGTATGCCGTCATCCCCGCACGCGCTGGCTATCAGACCCGTCAGCTTGCACCAGGACACATCGTAGATGGCACGAGAGTGCTGGCCGGAGAGGGTGCACACACACTTCCACACAGTTGTCTTATCGGGCGTTGCAATGCCCGCCTCATTGCCTGGATGATAGGCACGCCAGATCTTCAGTGTCGCATCATCGCTGCAGGAGACTAAGCGCTCACCCTCGGCATCGAAATCGATGCTCCAAACGGTGCTCGTGTGCGAGCTAAGCGTTGCCGTACAATCCCAATCGCTGTCCAGTGCACTTTCGGCAAACATCTTAATTGTGTTATCATACGAAGCGGAGGCCAGGATCTCCTTTGTTGGATGCCACACTACACGCTTCACATCCTGCGAGTGGGCATTAAGTACTGCAGCGCATTCAAACTCATCATCGCCAGCTACTTCCCAGATCCACACAGACTTATCACGCGAACAAGTGGCCAACAGGCCACCACTGCGTGACCAACTGACGCTCTTTACCTCGTTCTCGTGCCCCTCCAGCGTTGCAGTGCATTCGTGCTTGGACCAAATGGCTGTGGTGGCATCAAAGCTAGCCGACGCCAAATACTCACCGCACGGAGACCAGCGTACCTCGCGTATGGTACGCTTATGTCCATCCGATAGTATCGTCTTCGTTGTCCAAGTGTTTCCTGACAGAGACCAAATTCTGATGGCTTTGTCTTCGCCGCAAGAAGCGAAACTATTTCCTTTCGGATGCCATGCAACGCCCCAAATTCGGCCTTTGTGACCCTGCAGCGTATGCTCGAGAATAAGGCGTCCCATAATATAATTATTTTAGTTTAAATCTATATATATTTTATTATATATGAATGCTTAATTGATAACACTGCATGCGTGCAGATATAGAAAACAGATGATGGTCAACTGTTCAGTTCCGAACTAGTTCGATCGTTGATTATTTGACACTCCAGTTTAATCCAACATATATTATATTTAATATATGGTAGTTTCAATAAAGAGAATGTAACTTTTCATTAATTGCTACACATTTAATGAAGTTATTTACATAAACAACGCAATTAAACTCCAAACTCAGCTTGCTGGCAATGTTAAGCTCTTATCACTGACAGTAAATTTCACCACTAATCCTTATCGATAGTTGTAGCAAATCGATAAGAATTTTACAGTGAACTGTAACAAAAAGTTTTTGCAGTAAAAACATTTTCTAAAACAAACAATAACATTTAACAACTCAACACAAACAAAACTTGATTCGCATTTGTACAAGGCAGCTGAGCTAACGGTGCTCAGTGTAGCGAAACAAAAGCAGTGCATTGTGTATAGTCGCTAAGCTATTTTTGCTTTCTGATAAGAAAATGAACGGTTTAATTGTTTTCAATAGCGCCAACGATGTGGCTTATCAGAACTTAAATGGACCACTTGCAGAGAAAATATGCAGCATAGCCAATACGCAGGGGTTGCTGCCGACTCCGGGTGCTCCACTAGATAGCAATGTACTGTTGCAGATATTTAGCCCAATTATTAGTTCACAGCGAATTATGCACTGTCAATTTGATAATGCGTACGCGAGTTTTCAATGCGAGAATGGCTTCAATTTGACTTTTGGCGAACTGTTGGGCTTTACATTTCTGAAAATTGGTCAGGTCGAGATTGAGCAATTGATGCGACAGCTGGGAGTGGCCATGACGTTGACTCGTTACTGTTATGGTGCCAATTTATTTGGCTCGCAGGCGGGTGCAATGCAACAAGAGCTGCTGACGCAGTGTCTCAACTGCTACGAGTCTCAGCTGTGGGAGGAGCAGGAACAGGAACAGCAGTCCTACCTGCTGGAGGCATTGCCCAAGCTGCTCATTAACGCTGAATTGAAGCGAACAGTGCACGTCACACTGGATGCATTGCTGGAGCAACTACGACAAACTGGAGGACAGCAACGGGCACACGCTCTACTGCTCGTCTCCAATAAGTTGGTGGCTTTGAATAGTACACGCCAAGCGCTGCCCTTGGCACCGGCAGATCTACTTTTTCTGGCCATCTTGTCTCGAGCACTGGAATCCCAGAGATCTCCACGTGCAGTAGCTGTCTTTTTGCAGGGAGTGACACACGATGTCAATTCAGGCTGTGTGCCATGCATTGTGCACCTATCCCGTCTACATGGCCATCAGGTGTTGTTGCAGCTCATCGAATACGGCCACATGCCCTTGACCAGCTCCATCTATGACACTTTCTTTGTGCTCCAGAAGATTGTGGCGGTGCAGCAGCAGGGTGATGCCGATGCATTGAAGCCCGCCTACGAGAGTCTCGAATCTTTTGTCAGTCAAACACTGACGGCGCTCAAGCGACATTTAAAACAAAAGCATGAGGATCTGGAGAGCTGTGTGAAGAAGTTTACGGCCCGTTGGGAGAATCTACGCAAGATGTATGTGGAGTTCTTCAAGAGCTACGAACGGGAGCTGCTAGTACGCATCGAATCGAATTTACCGGCCTTTGTAGAGGAGCTGAAGCAACTGTTCACACTATCCTTAGCCAGTTGCGACATCGCCAGCAATCAGCAATTGGATCAACTAGCCGACTCGGCAGCTGTTGTGGAGGCAAAGCTCTTGGAATTTGCCGAATTTCTGGCGGTTAAAGCAGCGCGCAACATCTCTATTGATGCCTATTTGGAGGACTTTCCTGGTTTGGTGCATTTCATGTACATAAATCGTAGCTCTGGACAAATGTTAGCGCCTGATTTGCGCCAAGGACAGCCGCAGCTGCTGCCCAAATCAAAGCTCTGGCATATGGTTGAGTTTACGCGAAACTATTTGAAAAAGGGTCAAACGACAGTCATGTGGAAGGATCGCACATTTCATTACTCGTATTTTCTTTGGTTCGAGGATCTCTCTGGTGGCATATTGAAATGTTCGCTTGACCTACAGCAACATTTTCTCTCCACCGGCTTTGGCAACGGCAATGGAAATGGCGGTCATAAATCACCCGCAGAGCCCGGCTCCTTGCCCATGGACTACTACAGCGAGCTTGCCGAGCTTTGCTTCCCAAAGCTGGCCGGTGGCAAAGTACGCGTCTACGAATTGTATTGCATTCATTTGGGCCTTGTTACGGCCACCTGTGCCGTGGAGCATGCACGTCGCCTGGTAGCCACCATCAGCGATGTCGTTGGTGAGGGCACGTTCTAGATGAAGTTACACTCGATGTAAATTAGGCTTTAAAATTATATTTATAAACTTATTTATTTTATAATCTATGTAAGTTCGATGTTAAGTTATATATTTATTACTGCAACATTCCAAAGATAAAAAACACCCTATACCTATATTAATAGATGATTTACTTGACAGCTTACCTTTAAACTTTGCAACGCTCGTTTCTCTAGAGCAGTCTTATAAATAATGTAAACAAGTAATTAATAAAACAATTGTTTATTAAATAACAACATTATTTATTGTGTAGCCGTCGCTTCTGTTTGCATCTCTTGCCATTTCTCCTCGAAAAAGGATTTGCGTGCCGTCAGTGGCATGGATTTCTGTCGCAGCATGTAGTTTTCATTGCCCATAGCCGTGTATGTGTCATCTCCAATGAGATTTCGCAAAGCAATATTTTTCTTTAGGTGCTTATCGTAATAACTAACGCCAGCGGCTACAAATTGTGGTCCAAGTGTGGCGAGCCGTTTGTCAATGTCCGCATCGTCGGCCACCTGATTGAAGTCCTTCATAAAGGACCAACTGCCCAGGCCAAATAAGCCTAAAATGCTGTACAGAACAAACCGCATCTGTGGAAGCAAAATCAAAGGATTAACATTAATTTATTATGAGGATACCCCTTAACCACTTACACTGCCATGGCGCGCAAACAGCTGAAGACGCAAATTTAAAAAGTGTCCAATCGTGTAGACCATGAAAAAGCTTAAAGTCGGGAAAATTGAGTTCAAGAGAACGCGATGTGTTTGCAGCTGCAGAATAGCTTTGCACAGCCCAAAGACTTGTTCATCCTCTGTCAATACAATGGCTTGCTCCAACAGTTTGCCGCTGTCCGAGCTCCAGTCGATTTGACTATCCCGGAAGCGTATATCTGCACGCTTGATGTCTCCAATACTGTCGTAACCATAATTTACGGGTACACCCAAAGCAGCGCCAAAGCGTAATTTGGTTGTGCCCGCTTGGAACAGATCGAAACCGAACACGGTAAAGGGTTTGACAAACTGACGCTCATGCTTATCCAATTCCAGTTTATCCATAGCCTGTTCTATACGTAGCTGCACTGCCTTCGGCACTTCACGTTCCATACCATTTCTATATGGATAGAAAGAATACATTGTCAAACATGTGCCCCATGCTGGGGTCATTTGCTCACCTACTGATAGCATTGAACAAAATTGCGGTAATATTTCAGCCCAAATGTGTGTGGTAAAAAGTTAGCCAAGAATAGGCCGGTTGCAGTTGTACCCGCCGCATAGAAAACCACTTTACGTCCAGTTTCTGTCTTAAAAAAGGACATAACTCCGCCACCGGCTTTCTTTTGCATCTTTGCCTGTTTTGTAACCACAACGTATCGACGGACCTCCACTGGATTCAAAACTATATATCGATACTAAATGTATTATCGACAAATAAATGAGAGGATCATCGATAAGCCATTTGAAGTTGACTCAGTTATTAACGCGGCTTTTGGATAATAGCTGCGGTATTTAAACTGATTCGTGTTTACTTTTCTCTTTTATTCACATTACTCGACTGAATGTCAACTACAACTATATTATTTTTCGCTGCTTTGTGCCGCCACCAACGACCCAAACGATGTTCCTGACCGACAGCCACATAAAGTTTACTGCCATCTGCATTGAAAGTGAGGGCATTTATAAAGCCAGCAATGGATATGCTATGAATCTGCTGCAGCTTACGAGCATTCGGATTGCTTTGCCACAGTCGGACGCAGCCGTCACAAGAGCCTAAAATATAAAAAACAAATTGTAATTTTAAATGGTAATGAAATATAAGTCTGCAGTTGCACCTGTTGCCACTAAATCTGTATTGACGACGACGGCAATCGCTGTTATCCAGTTAGCTACGCCATTGTCGCCCTTGCCATGAGCCAATTGCGTTGTGCTAATTGGTTTCTTCTTCAATGCACTCCACAAACTAATCGCACTGCATGAAATATAAATAAAAAGATATAAGTAAAACATTCTCTCCTTATCTCATATTTCATACCCACCCATCAACTCCACCGGATACAAAATGTTCATCATTAATGAGTTTAACGCACTCAATGCCATCCTTGTGCCCATTGTAAATCAGTTGCGATTCTTCTGTGATCTTCCAAATACGCAAAGAGCAATCAGAGCCACCTGCAGTTATGGCGCGCTCTCGACTCAGAGCATCGATGCTTGTAACAGCTGTTTGATGACCAAATCTGTAACGACACGTGATTAGATAAAACTTTTAAATAATTATGATAATTCACTTACAAGCTCTCAACGTATGCCATTTCATCCACTGACCAAATTTTCACGGAACGATCTTTAGCTGCTGAATAAAGCTCGTGGGTGCCTTTGCGAAAGACCAGTCCCGTAACATTATCCCGATGACCCTTAAACGTTTTCATATGCTTCATGGTCTGTGGGCACCAGATTTGTATGTTAACTCCTCCCTCGGCTAATGCCATGTACTTCATGTCACTCGACAGGCAAATGGAAATAACATGTGATCTCCGTTTTTTTGTTGTTTCTGGCTCCTCACGATGCTGCAGTACATCACCTTTCTCTAGCACTTTACCACTCTCCATGCACCACTTGAGTACATATTGCGACTTCGCCCCACTGTACAGGTGTTTCCCATCTGCACTAAGGGAAAGGGCGCAGATTGGACTGTGATGAAGCTTGTGCTTTAGCACATTTTGAATGGTACATGATTTAAGATCAGCGGCAATTGTGCGTCGCAGGCGTCCCACACTATCTAAATACTCGGTTTGCAGGCGTTGCTCTACGTTCTGACTTAATTCTCGTTGTTCGGCACGTTCCGCTTCCTGCTTTTCAATTTCCGTTAAATATTCTTTGGCCAGTCTTAATCGTTTGTCCTGGGCTGTCTCCTCTTCTTCGTCTTCGTCAGCAGAAAATGTCAAGGCATTACTATTATATTCTTCATCTTCATCACTTGCAATCTCTTCATCATCAACCTTCGCTCGACGTTGCTTTTTTGGCCCAGGAACTGCATTTTGTGTTTTCTTGCCCGGTTTTGCGTTGCCTTTTACTTTTGTTGCATTAAGCTAAAATGTTTATTATTATTTCCCGTTTTATCTATAATCCTTTTATTGCTTTCATTTACTTACTTTACGCTTTTTGTTGGCGGCCACTTTAGCTGCGCCTGGTTTCAGAAAAAACGATGAAGACATTTTTAAAATTAAATATTCTAAAACAAAATGTAAACGCTAAACAAGCCCACGTGCATAGTACAACGCGCTTGGTATTTTTTAGTCCCTCTTGGACACAACAGCTGGCCGTCGCGTGTAACAAGCTGACAGCTATGACTGCTTCTGTCCATGGTGTTTTATAACACTTATCAACCGCGATTTGCTTCGATTCAAATTAAAAATTAATTCACATTAATTCAATATAAATCATTTATATAATTACACTGGTTTCATTTAAATTTATTCAATATAACTATAAATTGTATTAAATAAATACATTTTTTGTTCAATAAAACCACATTTTTTTATTTTTGTTGCCTGTTTATTGAAATAACTAATACTCTAAACATAATTAATATATATATATATATATATTTTAAAGAATTAGATCGAAAATGGGTTGAAATCAGTTTTCATTTATTGTTTCAAATTCAGCAAACGCACATTACATGAATTATAATGGTGGACCAAGATCTGATTCGTGTAACTGAACATCTGATGTTGACCCGAGTGTTTTGAAATTATCACAAATTATTCATACTTTCTCTTATCGTTGTGTGTAAAAATTTCTTTTTATTTTGCATTATTTATCGTAGTAAAAATAAATTAAGTGTTGCGCGCTCTGTATAGGTTTATGTAAGTGGGAGGGGAAAAGTAAGCGTTGGGATGCCTACAGAGAACCGCAAAATGATGCGCTATTAGTGGCGCGTCCGTAAATTGCCTAAAACTAAGTAACGTTCTAAATTAAAATTTTAAGATTGCTAATTATATAGAAAAACACACATTAAGTGAGATTAGGAATAATATGCATGTGCCCTCTCACACTCTCTCTTTCTACATGATCGAGCACAGGCCCGACGTTTCGACGCCATTTTGAACTTTCTTCGTTTTCTTAAGCGTCGCCTGCCGCAGCGCCGGCTTCAGTTCGATAACAGGCTCCGGCTCAGCTTCGACTGCAGCGGGTGGTGGTGGGGTAATCGACTTTTGTGTTGTCGCCCCCATACCGCTGACAGCTGCTGGCTGGGATGTTGCTGATGCCGTTGTCGCTGCTGTTGTTGTTGCTGCAGGGACACGTGAACTGTTGTTATTGTTGTTGCTGGTGCTGCTGCCGTAACTGCTCCCAATTACGGAAATGCAGCTAATGTTGGCAGGCGGTGCATTTGTGCTGCTGCTGTTGCTGCTGCTGCTTGTGGCAATCTTCGGTACAAACGTATTGCCTCCACACAGCACAGGAATAGTGGAAATAGTTTGAATGGAATTTTGCTGCTGCTGCTGCTGCTGTTGCTGATCGGCATTTCCCGTGGCGCCAATGACGCTTATAGCCGACACTTGCGAGTCCGTTGTTGTTGTTGTTGTTGAGGCACTATTATGACTATTACTACTTGTATTCTTAGTGATATTTATTTTTATTTTATTAACTATGCTAGCCAAAGGTAACGCCGGTGCCGGCCCCGCTGCACTTAAATTATGCGTCTCCTGCGGATTCTCACCATTAAAATCGGCCTCGCTGTTGGCAGCTGCAGCATTTGACTCCAGTTCCAGCTCATCGTCATTGGCTGGCAATGAGAGAGATGTCACTGAGGCCGGACGCTCCAGCGTTGCTGGTGATGCAGTCGAATCGATGGTATGTGTTAGCGTTTCTAATCAAGAGATGTCATCAGTTCCAAATATATTGATATATTTACGGAGATTGCATTGCTACTTACCACTGCTTAATATGGATATTTCATCTTCTGGCAGTGGCAGCAGTTGCACTACTGTGCCCACATCCTCAAAGCCATCATCATCATCTTCATCGTCGTCATCTTTCGGCTCCTCTTTGATTTTTACATTGAGCATCGACACTGGCTCCTTTTCTACATAGTTGTCCAGATCGGTAAAGGGAATGTTTGGCTCTTGTATTTCCACATCTGATTCATTGGCATTCTCTGCCACTCTTTCCTTATCTAGCTGCTGCTCATTCGAAGGCTTTGGCTCTTGGTCTTCTTGTTCGCTGGTTGTTGGCTTCTCCTTAGAAAGATCTGTCTCTGCTGCGGCTGTCACAGCAATTGGTACGTATTCCTCATCGTCGTCATCGACAATTTCTGTAACGCTTGGCTCCTCATTGGGCAGCACAATGACATCATCATCATCATCTTCGTCAGCCAGCAGCGTGCTTGATGTCTTTTTGACATTATCTAAAAATTTAATTAATTAGTATGATGAAATGTTTAGGCGTGCATTTGTGTTTACCTGATTCATCCTCCAGCTTGATCAACGTATCCATGGCATTGTCATCGCTAGCATTTAGCATATCCAGATCGCCATTTACTGTAGCATCATTGTCGACAACTGGAGGTGGATTAAGCGAAGTTTTGTAGTCTTCGTAGCATAGCGGATGATATATCTTATCGTCTACGCGTATGGCTGAGCGTAGATGCCATTCTTCCAGCTCTTCATTGTAGAACTGTTCGAATTTCTCATGGCACATGTCACAGCTGCGATCCAAATCAGCCGCTCCAGCGGCACAGCTAGGAACAGGTGAATTGAGAGAACGTTGCTGGGACACATCATCGATGGAATCTGGTCCCAATTGTTGACCCTGAGCTTCGAGGAAATTCCTTTCACGCTCTTCGACATCTTCGATTTCCTCGTATTGCCTCCAATCATTGAGATCATAGAACCAACGCCTGGACGTTGGTTTGCGTGTTGAATCGCGTTCTCTTCGATTCTGACGAAAATGCCAATCCAAATGCTGACTATACTTGATGGTCTGCTCCGGTGGGAAGCGTACGCCACAGCTGCTGCACTGCATGCCCAAATACAAACTGGCTATCACGGCTGACTGACGAGTTTTAATTGTGTCGGGTTTCTGCAGATCAATGCGCTTAATGGGCTCGGCTGGAGCAGGGGCAGGTGCAGATGTTGCAGGTGTTGCAGGTACTGTAGCTGCTACCGTTGCTCCTGTTGTTGCTGTCGCCTCTCTGCTAGAATTAGAGTTGGTATCCAAAGCAGGTACATTGACAGCGCTGCTGCTGCCAGCAATTATGCCAGAAGAGACGAGCTTCTGGAAGAGCTCATCAATGTTGAGATTGCTTAAAGCAGCTGCTGCTGTTCCCGGCAAAGGTACAGCTGGGGCAGCATTTGTTGCTACGCCGGTAGCTGCAACAGTTGCTGGCTGCTCGAGCGTTGCTGCTACGGCTGGTACAGTTGGCATTGCAGGCACTGGCACTGGCGGCGGCTGTGGCGGTTCCGCTGGCGCCTCAGTCTTAATGTACACCATATCTTGGACGTGTGCCTTCCCTGCTTGCACACCCTTGGGCAGCGTACCAAAGCGTATGAAACAATTACGTCCGCCATTCAATTTCATGCTTTTGGGCAATCCGCCATATTCCAGCTTTTGCAACTGTCCATCTAACAATCCATAAAGAAAACTATCCACAAATTGCAGCGAGTGCTGTTCGGCGCCCAAATGGAACGTTTGTTGGCGGCCGTCGAGAAATAGGGGCACAATTGTGTGTGCATCGACAATCATGTTGATTTTGCCGACAACTAAATCTCGACGCACGCGACCAATATCCACATTTGGTGGCGGCCCCTCCGCCTTCAGCACATGCAACTTATTGCCGATAGGCAGTGAAACAGGTGGTCCACCAAAATATATCTCATACCAATGATCATCGATGTATAGCTCTCGTGATGGATGGCCGAAACGTATGCGATGCAGCTGCCCATCCAACTGAAAGGGTTTGTAGTCATCATTGAAGCTGAGCGCTAGCGGCTGCTCATTGTGATCAATGTAGATGGCACGCTGTCCGTGCTGGAAGCCGATCTCATGCGGCTCATCGCCATCCATAAATATGATAGCCACTTGATTGTAGAAACGTATTTCCTTGCTCCCTCCATCGATCGTTATGCTACGTACCACATCTGCCATCGGATTGTCCAATGAATTAATGGCCTTGGTTATGTTAACCGTTGTCACTGGCGGCAGTGTTAGCATGGAGGGTGGTTGCGGTGGTGGTGGCACAGCTGTTTGTGACATAACTAATGGCGGATGCTGCCAGGGCATGCCACGAAAGCCAACATTTCCACTACCAGTTGCCGCATTTCGTTTCCCGTTGTTATTGTTGTTGTTGTTTTGCGCCAATTGCCAGGCAGCTCGCTGTGCTGCAGCTGGATCCACTTGCTCGCCCCATTTGCTGGGCTTGCGTCTCTTGCCATCGCGCTTGTTTTTAAGCTGCTTAGAAGACTGCTGCTGTTGTTGTGGCTTGTCGAGCATCGGTAACAGCTGTTGCTGCTGTGGCTCTCCATCACTACGTGGCGAACTGGACGCCTGATTTTCATTGCCCTTCAGCTTGGGTATCCGTTTTCGTAACACTGCATCCCTCGCTGCATTACGCTCCAAATCCTCATCATCTGCAGCTGACTCGCGTCGCCGATCCTTCAGTTTGCTGCTCTCATTCATGACCACTACTTTACTGACTAGCTCCTTGTATTGCTCTGGATTCATGCTATGATTCTCGAACATTTCCTGTGCCTGGCTTAGAATTGTACGCATCTTTTCGTCGTGTGCCTCCTGCGAATCATCGCTGACTTTTAGATCTGATGACAGCTGTTTAAGCCGTTGCGTCACTGGATATTCTTTAGATTTGTCTGGAATTAGAATCAGAAATTTGTATAATTTTTTGACAATTGATTTGACATGAATTTGGGGAATGATTTACCTGGCTTAGACTGGTGTTGCTGCTGTTTGTTGTTGTGTCGCGCAGTCTTTGCCAGCTTGGCACGCAGCTCATCCAGTGTGGGTTTCTTCACAGGCGACAAAGGTGACTTGGTGATTTGCTAAATAGGAAGATTTAGTTAACGATTCTGATAAATAATGATGCAAGCATTATCCACTCACTTTGTTGGCCTCCCAATTGTCCATGGAATCATCCTCGACAACAATTACGTTACCAGGCACGAGAATATTTTGATTTGACTTGGCAGGCAGCTCGCGACGTAAGTCCACATCCTCGCTGCCAAAGAGTCTGCAAATAAGGAAATACGTTTAATTCTTCCGAATTCAGTTTTAATCATGGCTACACTTACGCATCTAGTTTGGCTGATTTACTGCGCTTCTGCTGCGGTTGCTGAAGCTTATCCTCATCCTCATCCGTGTCCACATTCGGAGGCAGCTGTGTAGCCGATCGCTTCTCGCCAACAGACTGTGTCAGTAGATCCGTTGAAGTAGGCGCTGGAGATGATTGCCTAATGCTGGCCGGGATTGTGCCTGCTGTTGCTGCAATTGTTGTTGGTGCTGCTGCTGATGCTGCTAGCAGTGTTGCTGTTGATAAATGCGCTGTAGATTTTTCTAATTTATTAAACGGTTTTTGTATTTTGAACGACACTTTTGTGGGCAATTTGGAGGAAGAACTGTTGTTCGTTGCGTTGGAGGCGCTGCTAGCAATTTTTGTTGTGCTGCTGGTGTTGTTGCTGTTCTCGTTGCTGCTGTTGCCGCTGTCTGCAATTGTGGCTGCAAATGTTCTCGCCGTGCCGAGGTTTATGGCCGGTGGAGGCGGCGTTGCTGGCCTTACGGCAGCCGCCATGGTGGCCAATTTGGCAAAGGGCCGCAAATCGACGTCCTTGCTAGATGCATCTAAATGCGGTGAACGTGGCCCTGGTTCAAGTAGTGTGAAATGTGTATCTAGAAATTTGTATTTTATGCTTCCACAAAAACAAAAGAATTCTTACGAAAAATATAAAAAGGGCTGGGTATAGCCCTAAAACAAGACTAGAAATATTACAAAAACTGAACAGGGAAGGGTTTCAATAAAATTATAAGAAAAAAAAAATGTTTAAATTTGAAAATTTAAAGAACAAAAGTGGATCATCAACATACACCAGGCACAGCAATTGAGCTAGAAAATTTAGTGGAAAATCATAAAAAATAATAAAAGAAACTATTCAATTAAATTTCCGTTAAGGAATAGGGTTAGACTAAAAAACAAAAATAAAATAAATATATATATGGATTCTTAAAAAGTGCCGTTCTACAAATACAAAAAAATAATAATAATAATAAAATAACATAATATATATACATATTTGGCAAGACGTATATCATGTATTATAATACATCTACAAAATACGCTTTAATCATTATTTTTCGTTTTATAAAATATTTACGTTTAAAAAAATATTTAAGTTTTGTTTAGATTTCCTTTTTTTGTTAAACTTTTTACAACAAATTAAAACTGGAGTCTTTATTTCTTCTTAGCTTTATCCAAACTGATATAGAGCATATATCATTATTTTCTTTTTACTTGTAGTTTATCAGTTTACAACAATTTTATCACACGATTTTCTCATTTTTGACAATTTCACAAAGTAAATATACTTAAAATTACAACAAAAGGCGGCACCTGGCTACGTTTCTTATTTTGCATTAATTAAAACAACTGGAATGCAAAAGGTTTTCACAACGCATTTTTATTAGATTTGCTTTTTAATACTTGTTTTTGTTTTTGGTTTTTTGTTTTCTTTTTTAATATTAAATTTGAGCTTTATCGTTATTTGCGCTTATGTATTAATTAAGAAAATGGCATAATTCTTAAAGGCTTATATAGATTCGTTTTAAATTTTGGAAATATAAATTAAAATAAATACCTCTGTTCTATCAATAACAGTCGCAAAAATAATTTCCATTCAAGTGGAGCAACAAGTGAAAGGAGCTCACCAAACAACGCCTACGGATGAGAAAATTGGAAACAAAAAACACAGAACGACAGGATAGGGGACAACCCTAAGAGTTACCAGCAAAGTGCAAACTTATTGAACAAGAAAAGCTTTTAAGTGCTTAGCAACACGAAAAGGATCTATCCTCTCTATATGAGATCTTTATATCTGTTGCTTTATATTGAGATTACAAGATGCTTTAACAAGATTCTTAAGCTGTGATCTTTGAGCTTGGCTAATTTTATGAAATACAGTTATTTATAGCCATAGGTAGGACAGAATTCAAAGCTTTAAAAACTTATTAATCCTATAAGTAACGTATATAATAATACGAAAAAAAATATATAAAAGTAATATAAAAGTTGTTCAATAGAATATTAGAAGTTAAAATTAAAGCTAAGGCAGCTTTAATTAAAAAATCAGTTGGTTTCACGATGTTTAAATAATGAGAAGCTTAAACTTTTAACCTTTTGTAGTGGTTTAAATGTCATTAAGATGATTTGATTTTCCAAGTAGTAAACATTTTCTAGACTTTAAACTATTGCACTTTGCTAGTTATTTCTGTAACTTGTGAAGGATCAACTGTAATTTCGTAGCAGTTTTTCCAATGAGATCAGCACTTAACACTCAATAAACCAACCCCGACCTGACCCCCACATAATCCTTGCTAAGCCCTGGGTGCCGCCAATTTGGTTTGTAATTTGTGCATAATTCAACTACTTTGTCATTTGTATTGCTAAAGACTTGGCTGTTGACTAACAAGTGTGAGATTAGAATTAAAAAATGTTTCTTACGTTTCTCTAAATCATTTGCTGAAGGTGCTGTTGCAGTTGATGTTGACGTTGCTGTTGCTGCTGCTGTAATTGGAACTGGAACAACTGCCGCTGATGATGTTGTTGCCTCTGGCGACTTGCTGCGCTCCACGCTACGCATGTCCACGTCCCTGTAGATAGGTGAACGACTGCGGGAGCGCGCACTGCTTGAGCCACTCGATTTGTTGCGACTCGTGGATTTTTGTGTGGCATTTCGCTTTGACTTGGTTGGTGAGCTTGCAGGTGAGCTACTCTTGCGTTTGTTGTTGCTTGCTGGCGAGTTGCCATTGTGTGTATACTCCTTGCCAGATGAATGCTTGTCGCGTGAGCTGGACGAGCGTTTAACAGGCGAGACACTGCTGCTACTATTCTTGTGTCTGAAATCTGAGCCAGAGGATGAGCTTGACGCTGTTGAGCTCTTTGACTCGCTGCGCTTGCGACTGCTGCTGGCGGAGCCGTGATTATTATTGCTGCCACTGCTACTGTTGCTCAGTTTGGAGGATCTGTTGCCTGTGTTGCGCAATGGAGACTTGCTGCGTGAACGACTAGATTTATGTACTGTTGAGGAGGATGAGTTGCCGCTTTTGTGGGCCTCCAGACGTGGATCGACTGCACGCATGGGCGCTGCCATTTGTGCTGACTGTTGCGGCTGCATTTGACGAGCCAGTCGTGGGTCGCGCTGACGTACTGAATTAAGCATAGCTGGATTAATCGGATGTACCTTTGGCTTGTTGACAAAAGGCTGCAAATATTAGACAAATATTAATTTCAGCATATGCATTGCTTAAGCATAAGCCTTACCGGTTGGCCAACTCCTGGTGCAGCAGGCACGCCTGGACGCACAGGCTGCATGGCGCTAGGATAGTTGGGTGGAGGCAAACTTGTCTCCATGCCTGGTGGACGTAGTACAGCTGCTGGAGCGGGTATACCAGCTGTCATGGGCGTTACCGCTATCGCATCTGCTGCTTGGCTTAGTTGACGTTCCTGCTCCTTTAAATGCATTTTAGTCTGCTCCAATTCGAGTTCCAACTTGCGCTTCTTCAGCTCCAGCAGCTCACGTGTTTTCGCCTGCAATATCTCCTCCATGTCGCTGGGCAGCGCCGAATTTACGGGCATAGACACCATGCCCTAAGAAGGCAAATATATTCAATTAGGCATATAACTAGTGTAACTTTTTGCTTTGTATAATACGTACCGTCTTAAGAAAATCAGGATTGACATGTATGGCGGGATTAACGTGTATTTTATTGGGCTGACTTGGTTTGGCCGTGATGGGCCAATTGTTATCTAAACGCTTGACCTTGACATCCAGCGCATACATTTTAGATGCAGGAAACACATCGTTCCATGTCTGCCGCAGTAAATACATGCGTTCACGCACTTTTTCCAGCACCTGCGATGGGGAGTGTTGCACCTAAGGATGGGAGATTCGAAAGGATGTTTAGTTGAATTTATGTGCTAAATTTGTGGATGACTTACCGATTCGAAGGCGTTGAGAAATATATTGACTATGCATTGCCCGAACAGCTGAACGTAGCTGCTTTTCACATTCTTTATTATCGAATCAATTAAATAAAGTATAGGTAATTTGAATTCGGGCGGCACCTGTTTGATTTGGTAAGATAGGTAAGAATATAAAAAATAGAGCATAAGTTTCTACAACGTCGCTAGCGAATTGTTCGGACACAGATTGAGGCACATCAGCTTCAACAACAGCTTCAATTCACATAGTCCTTGGCGATCATTAAGACAAACGACAACAACGATGACGACGACGACAACAGCAGCTGCTGGACACAAATGCATCTCCATGTTGAAGGTGAAGGGGCAGTTGATCAAAGCAAAGCATTATCAATGGAATTAAAAAAAAAAAAAAAAAAAAAAAAAAGAAAAACTTCGTAACCCAAGGTAAAGAAACGCCCAGTAACTAACTCTAAAAGCGACTTTTGAAAACTATTCCAATCAATATTGTATTTCAACAATAGAAAATACTTTGTATAAATTTTCATTATACGAAAATATCTAAAATTAATTAAAAACTTTGTTCAACTCTGTTGAAAACAAAATTTTTGCTAATACTAATAAGATAATATAAATTTATTTCAATATAAAAAAAAGTATTTTCTAGATTTTAAGGTCAGGTTTTAAGTTATAGATACAATAAAATTATATAAAATACGAATGCCGTTTACTTTATAAGTTGAATACATTACTGAGTTGTTTTGCCTTAGTGTTTCCTTTTTGCCAAATTTATTTAATTTAATTAATTTCTCGTATTTTGCTGCGTGTCAGGTATTTATTTGTTATATATTTTGATTATTTTTTCTTTGTTTATAATTTGAAGCAATGTTTTATTCTTGTATAAAATAAAAGACAACTTGATGACAATTGTTTAAGTATTTTCTCTTTTATTGGAATTTTCTTTTCGATTTCTTTGTGTATTTTGTATGTACTTCAAGGTATCGAGGAAAAAGAAGAATAGGAATATAGTAAACGTCTTACCTTGTAGTGGATAAATCAGTCTCTGCTTAAAACCCAAATATTAATATTTCAAAATTGAGTTACGATTTTTATCTACTTTAAAGTTTAAACAATCGAATCAATAGAGGTTGTTTCTCTTTAAAAAAAAATATTTACTTTAGGTGATCTATTAATTGATTGATTAAACTTTAAAATGTTGCTTATACAAAGCGTATGCAGATAGGGTAATGCCAAAGAAAGTTATATATAATTCGTTGACATGCCCACATCTCTTAACACAAAGGTCTAAAGGCAAAAAAGTCATCGATAATATTACGAGTAATTTATACTCTTGAAATCAGAGCAATGTTTTAAACCATTATATGTATATACATGACATACGTAATGTATAATCTCGGTTACCAAATTTGTTATCTTTTTAATTCAACGGAACAAAGAATTTTTAGTTTAGTTTTTTATACAACCTTTAAAGTTATATGTAAGAAGAAATATTGCTTGACTTTTTTCGATCTCTATAAATATATTAAAAATGGTATTATTTTAGATATTTAAAAGCAAATTTGTAAATATGTAAAGACTCAAGTGTCAATCGAGCTCTTAGCCTTACACAATTCGTGTTATCGATGACTTTTAAACTTAAGATCTATCGTGCCTTCCCTAACTGCAACTAGCACACACGTTGGACATGGAGATCATGTGTTAACACAACTGCCGTGTATGCGGCGGCATCGGCGCCAAATGTACGTAGGACTTTGCATATATGTGTATTGTTCAGTATGTCTGATATATGTGTCTGAGTGTGTGTCTCTCTTTGTGTGTGTGGTTGTTTTAATTAATTATGCTTTATTTGTTAACCTGGCTGATGTGATATTCCACCACGCGCACAATGACATGGGCATAGTTAATGTTCTCCTCGGCTAGCATGGTGAGCATATTGATGAGTGGCTTGCTATTGCAATTCAAATCCGTTAAACTCGATAAATATTCTTCGCCAATACGGCGTGCATCCTCCGGATACGATTGCAATACATGCTCCATAATTGCAGGCTTTCCTCTTGAAACTCCTGTAGTTACCCTGTTGTAATCCGTATCACGATTCACAATAAATTGCAATTGGTAAGCTGCAAGTGAAAAAATTTCAAATAAAAAATTATTATATTATATTAATTAGGAGCTATCGATATTTATTTCGCAGTATATACAAATACACATACACAAATATGAACACTCGATTTTGTATGCATATACACACATGCTAAATATAAATAAATATTGTAATTGTTGATGTGGCTTGCAGCCATGACAAAAAAAAACAAAACATGTAAACAACCACACGCAATCAACTAAATATATTTATACTATTATACTATTATACATATATATATATATATATATATATATGTGTGTGTGTGTGTATATACATAGATATCTGTTCATGGGCGAACAATAAACACACGGGTAACGGGGTTAGGGGAAGTTTTTTCTCAGCAAAAATTCAAAATGGCGGCCAGCAGACATGCAAACACGCATTTTTTCACTGTTGCAAAAAACATCAAGTTCTTTAACAATTTATTATTTATCAAGAAGTTAAACGCGCACCCTTGTTAAACATGTACTGTTAAAATGGAAATTGTTGCTAAACAATTGATTTTTGGATTTTCCCACATTTTTCGTTGAAAAGCCACGTTTATACTAAACACACGCACACGTTAATTTTAACAAAAACAATTAATACCATAAGTTCACGCTGCCAAACATACCTTTTTATATTAATACATTTGTACACTTCGTTTAACGCACTTGAATGCAGTGAAAAATGATTATTGAGCACTTTTTAAACTAAAACAAAATCAGCCTTTGACAACTTTTTCACGTAACAACTGCGATGAATCTGATGAGTGTGCACAAGTGATGTGAAATACGATTGATAACCACACTTTGACGCATAAATGCGTGCGATATCGATAGAAATATCACAAATATTTGTAAAATCGATATTTGTGACAAAAATCAAGTTGGCATCACATTGAATCTCGCACAACCAGCTGTTGATTTGATAGGGGCAACAAAGGGGCGATAGAAATTGCAAAAAAAAAACAAAAACGTATAGTTAATTTATCACCATATCCAAAACCAAAAAACAAAAATGGACGAGAGCGAGAGTTATGTGCACAGCGCCTACCAGGTATCGATAATTCCAACTGATCTACATCACGAGGAAACAATAATCAGAGCAGCACAGTCGCTCGACTGCCTAAACAAAACAATAAACTCAATTTTTGGCCGCATCGATGCTCGATTGGAAAGAAATGGTGCCAAGGTTCAGCATATAAATGAGCGTGTCATGCGTGCACAAGCGAAAATTGATGCACTTGTTGGTTCCAAAAAATCCATTAAAATCTTTGCGCCTGCCCGTTTTCCAGGCAACGGTGTTTTGAACAACATACCCGCAACCTTTCCAGCTGTGGTCAAAGAGTCAATAGATATGCCCACAACAACACAAAAACAATTAACAAAACCGGAACACCGCCAACGTAATCGCAATGCTGGCTCAACGAGCGATGCGAATAATCCCGCGGATATGGACTCCGTATTCTTTCACGTGCGTGGCGAGGAACAGCAAGAAACGCCGCTAATTATGGAACGTCGGTGCACGAATAGCATCACTGGCTTGGGAGCTTTGCCACCTGTCAAATCAGTGCCCGCTTTGTTGCGCTTCAATAGCAATGAATTCGCCTATGGCAGCGATGATCTAAATGCCTGGAAGCGCAAATTTCCGCCACAACCCCAAAAGCGTGACGTCCTCAACAAACCTAAGTCAACACAGTTATTAGCACCGGCGCCCCACTCGCTGGCACACGGCACCACCAAGCTAACCACTCCAGCTGGTGATCTGCGTTATACGCCCGCAGCTTTGGCGGCTCCGGCGATCGATGTGCCATTAGACTTACCCGATTTGCCGGGCATTGCGAATGACTTGCAGTATGTGCCGGTGGAGGAGCAAACACCCATTGCACCATCGCATCAATTTATCGATTTACCCGACTTGCCGGAACTAAGTGAAAAGTTAGATGTGACACCCGTTAACTTGGAAATAACAGTGCAGGCAATAGCATCGCAGACGCATATGACTAGGAAATCTTATACAACACAACCTTGTGCATCACCAATTACGCAAGCTACACCACCACCGCCACCACCACCGCCACCGCCACCACCGCCGCCGCCAACACCACCCGCTCAAGCAATTGCCAAGTTGCCTTCTGATGGCGTCATCAAGCCCATCTCCCCATCCTTGCAGACACCTTTAAACATACCCAATTCGCAGGCACCACCGCCAGACGATCCTCGATCCGAGCTGATGGCTGCCATACGAAAGGCTGGGGGTGCACACGGTGGACGCTTGCGTTCATCAGCTGCTGCGCCCGTCAATCCGGATGCAGATGGTAAACAAAATGCCCATGGGACAAGTCGTTCTAGAGCAGGAGGCAGTCCAATCAGTGGAGGTGATTTGATGGCGGATTTACACAATAAGCTTATGCTGCGTCGCAAGGGAATCTCAGGCAATCAAAATTCGGCGGATCAAGCTGGGAATCCCATGATGCTGCAACTGTCAAAAATAATTGCAGCACCAATAGAGAAAAACAAAAGTTGTTCCATGTCCAGCGATGAGGGCAATTCCGATGATGATACAGATGCTTGGGAGTAGTAACAAATTAAATAGAGTTAAATTAGTTCCAGCTATATGTGCCTTGCTTTAAGCATTAGTAAAAATTATTAAAAAAAAAACTGTTTTGGGCAGATCGAGCATAACCATTGAGCAACTATTTTTGAATTCTGAAGTGTTGCAAAGCGCGTAGGGTTTTTATTTTATATCGAAAACTATCTTTGAAATTGCATTATAACTATGAATGCAAGTTACATATGCATGGCCAAAAACTAGTGCTGCAAAACTTTTGATTTAGTTTTGTATAAAACCCGGACATTATCGATAAGCTTGTATCGATAACTAAGTGTGGACTACACATTGCAACGATGTCCGGTGATTCGCGAGATATTAATGATCTGTTCGATGATATAGTGCTGACCGAGGAAAAACACGCACGCAAGGGTTACGCGGAGGGTATCAGCGACGGTAGGGCTCAGGGTAATCAAGAGGGCTACCAACTAGGCTACGCTCAAGGCGTTCAACTTGGCGAGGAATTGGGTGCCATTTACGGCCAAGTGGTGGCCCAACAGCAATTACCACATACGGAAAAGTTGCAACGCACATTGGAACAGCTGCGGCAGCTTATTGAACAATTTCCACGTCAAAACAATCCCGACAAAGACATCATTGGCGCTGTGGAGCACATCCGGAACACGCATCGGCTACTGCGTGCTTTGTTGGGTACCAAAAAGGGTGCTTCACAGGAGACTGTACACACAACGCAGGAGCGCAAAGATTACAGTTTCTAGAAGACGACACAAGATGGCACAAGTAGGAGTGGACGAGCTAGAGCATCGTCTCAATGCTTTAATAGAATATTTGACGCCATATTCGACTTTTATTAATTGCCACATGGTTAACTATCTAACGGACGACCATTGGAAAGAATATGTGCCTTCGCCATTGAGAGCAGAGCTTCCAACAGCTGACCACGTACAACGAGCAATAGAAACATTGTTTTCAAATAAGTCGCCTGATTTCCAGAAGTTTCCAGCACTTGCCCAATTTTTGAAAGCTAGCGAGTGCCAACGCTTGTCCAGTTCTACGGACCTGTTAACCAGTGTTGAGCAACTGGACCAGATCCTAAATGCCCAAATGCAAACAGAGCTGAGCATTAAAGAATTTATGAGCGCTAAAAAGTGCCATGAGGTGCGTACCAAGTGATTCTAAGCAATGCAGGAAAGCTTCCTAGTCTTGCAAATATATAATCATAATCTACTTTAAAATATAAAGCTCACAGTTTTGCAATCTCTAGATGGATAGAAATTAACGCACAATTCATCTACACACTACTATTCACAGGTGGAGCTAACCGCGGCTTTGGTGAACAAACTCGTGAAGAGTTTAGTGGCAGGGTCCAATTGCTATATTGTTGATGCTGGTGATGGCAAAGGATATCTCTCATCGAGATTGGGGTTGCAGTATGGACTTTCGGTGCTTGGAATTGATGCCAATGAGTCGAACACAAAAAATGCTCTTTCACGAGATAGTAAATTACAGGTATGTATTCTTATAGATAAATACACAAGATTTATTTCATTTACTTTTTGGACACTTAATGCTAAGTTGTACTAAGAACTAGTTTAGTCGCGCATCTCGCCCTCCTCATCGTCATCCTCCATGCCTTTGATGTAAAGTACATTGTTGCAGCGTATCAGCACTTCGCCTAGATTACCCGTAACAGAGCCTTCGATAACTTCCTCGGTGTTAGCCAGCTGCATGTTCATGTAGCCATCAACTGAGACAAGAAAGCCCTTGTACTCCTGGCCCCATTTCAGTTTAACGAGCACGGGCTTTCCTGTTAGGCCATTTAGAAATGGTTTAGGATTAATGGGCATGCCAGCAGACATATTGTATGTGTGTTTTTTTTTATTTATAGAATGAAAAACAAAATCGCGTATTTATTTGCCGGCTAAAACGTTTTCGCGTCGTGCATGCAGCAATAAGAAGAAGCGTGAATGACAGCTGCGAAATGGGGTTGCTGAAATATATATCGATATATCGATATATCGATTAATTCATTTCATGCTGAGTGCTAATCAGTCATTTGCTTTCAATCGTTAATCAACACTTTTTATTTGCTGTTTATTTGAATTAGCGCGCCTGGAACGGCTTAACAGAACGCGCCGAGATATTAAACCAAGGCAAAACACCACCGAGACGCGGTAAAAAGTCTCCTACTAAGGAAGCACATACAACTGCCCCCATTAAGAAATATAAAACCACTTCAATGTACATAACCACCAAACTAAACTTGTGTGATTTACTGAAGAAACATTTTGAGGATGACCAAGAAGTAGTTGATCCTTGCATATGTCTTACCGGCTTACACACCTGTGGAAATCTAGCCGCAACTTGCTTACAAGTCTTTCATGCTCAGAATAATTGCCGCGTACTGTGCAATGTGGGCTGCTGTTATCATTTATTGAACGAACGGTACTCGGAACAGGAATTCTTTGGCAACAAGGCATTGATGTCCAAGTCAACTGATTATGGATTCCCCTTGAGTCACTACCTTCAGCAGCGCCAATTTAAATTGGGTCGGAATGCCCGAATGCTAGCCGCACAATCCATTGAACGTACTTTGTCAGCCAAGGAACTGCCTAACATCTCGCTCTACTATCGCGCACTGCTCGAGCTTCTGGTCTGCAGACATGCGCCGGATTTAAAGAATTCACTGCAAGTGGGCAAAGTAAAAAAATGTGACGATTTTGTGGAATATGTGCAGAAGTGTTCAAAGAAGCTGAATGAACCTTGGTTGGCTGAAATCAAAGAAGACGAACTGAAGGCCTTGCTGCAGCAACACGAATCAGATCAACATTATCTGTCGCTCTTCTATCTACTGCGCATGTCATTTGCTCCGGTGGTGGAGAGCTTAATACTTCTCGATCGGCTGCTGTTCCTCAAGGAACTGGGCTACGAGCACAGCTATTTAATTGATCTGTTCGATGCGGTTATATCACCACGACACTATGCGATAGTTGCATTCAAGGAAAATTTGATTTGACAATGAATTTGAAAAGCTGTGCAATACTTCGCCTAAACTATACAATAAACATACGAGGGTAGTCTGAAAAGTTCTGCAATGTATGTAAATATATGTATATAAATAAAAATAAATTAAACCTGCTTATTAGCGACATTTCAGACCACCCTCGTATATATTCTAGTTTTACAACTTTTTATTGTAAATCTGTCAATCCGTTGTTTTTAAGTGTTTTTTACAAATCTCGACAACAATTCATTTTTCTATGCAATTTGTTTATCAGTTAGCTAAACTATATTATACACGTAATACCCTGTATTTAACGAAAATGTTTATATACATATATATACATGTATTTATTTACACAATATTTTTTATATTTTCCAAATGTATATATGTATTGCTTTGATAACCCAGATTTTTGGAATCGCTCAACAAATAAGCTGTATTTGCTTGAGCCTAGAAGCAGTTTACAACGTATCTTCTAGTTGAGCTTTGCTCTAAAGCAAACTAACATTTTCATAATCATCTACTGGAAGGTGACTATAAAAACCTGAAGTCAACTTAAATCGATCGCAAGTGTTATTTCAGACTAGCTAATTGTCGGTACTTGTGATCGGGTGTGAATACAATTAATTACTACAAAGTATCTACTAGGTCAGTTGAAGCCTAACTTAAGTGATAACTGCTGAATTAAATAAAAAGTGAAACGAAAGTCTGGCAAAGGATGCGACCTATAGAATTGATATAAATTAGAGAACTATAATATCTTAATTAGATGTAATATGTAATAAAATAAAAACAAAATCTGAATAAAGTTGTGAAAATATTTTCTAAAATACCCAAAACTAAAACATTTAAACCAAAAAAACCCTTTCTTAAATTAAATAAATTGAAATTTCCCGTTTTCCGGCAAAAATAATTTCTGCGTCAAGAAAATGTTCTATTATATATAATATTATTTGTAAAGATTAACAGAGATTAAAGCGCTTCTTTCTGCTTATTTTCCATAAACAAGACGCAATATTGCGAAGTAGTTTTTACAAACTATCAACAATAAACAAGATTAGAAAACACTTAGGTTTGATAAGAGACAATTACTGCATGTAGATAGCTCAAGTTTTGATTAATTGTTAATAATTAAAGTTCAGCTGACAATTGGCTTTAATCTGTTTTGTAGAGTCGCCGGGAAATGGCGCTAACGGAGGCCCTTTTTTTGATTGTCGGCGCACTGGGCGCTATTTATGTGTGGTTCCAGCGGAATCACAGCTATTGGCAGCGCAAGGGCATACCCTATATACAGCCCACGCGCATTATAGGGAATACATTGCCGGTGTTTACGCAATCGAACTCCTTTGGCTTGCACATCTCGAGCGTGTACAGCGATCCGCGGATGGAGAATGAGGCCGTTGTTGGCATCTATGTGATCAATAAGCCCGGTCTGGTTATACGCGAGCCGGAACTGATTAAATCGGTGCTAATCAAAGATTTTAATCGTTTCACCAATCGCTATGGACGCACCGATCCACATTACGATGCCCTTGGCTCCAGCAATCTGTTCTTTGTGCGCAATCCACAGTGGAAGGAGATAAGGACAAAGCTGACTCCGGTTTTTACCAGCGGAAAGATGAAGCAGATGTATCCACTAATGCAAGAGGTGGGTTCTGTAAACAGGACTAACTTCCAATTCCAAACTAAATCGAGCCACTTTATAGATAGCCGCAGATCTGGAGTCGCTGCTAGCCAAGGAGAGGCCAGCAAATGAAGCCGCCTATGTGACAGAAATCAAGGAAGTGTGCGCTAGGTTTACGACGGACTCAATAGCAACAATTGCATATGGAGTGCGTGCGAATTGCTTGTCGAATCCGGATGCTGAGTTCCGTAGGCAGGGCCGTAAGGTCTTCGAGCCGACGTTGCTGCGCAGCAAGGACTTCTTCGTTGCCTTCTTTTTGCCGAAGCTGGTGTCGCTGCTGCGCATCAAGGTATTTCCGGACGAGTTTTCCAAATTCTTGCGAAATACCATTGGCCATGTCATGTCGGAGCGCGAGCGAACGGCGACGGTGCGGAATGATCTAATTGATGTGCTCGTGGGCCTACGCAAGGAGGCAGCCTTGGAGCCAGGCAAGTCGCATCTGGCCAATAGCAGCGACTTTTTGGTAGCTCAGGCTGGGGTGTTCTTTACGGCGGGCTTCGAGACGAGCTCGTCCACCATGTCGTTTGCCCTGATGGAGCTGGCCAGGCAGCCGGAGTTGCAGCAGCGTCTACGACAGGAGATCAATGAAGCCCTCCGCAAGGAGAAGGACGGCAAACTGAGCTACGACACAATCAATTCACTCGAATATCTATCCATGGTGACCGACGAGGTCTTGCGGCTGTATCCAGTCTTACCTTTTCTAGATCGCGAATATCAGAGCATCAAGGGGGAAACGGACTTATCGCTGAAGCCCTACTACGATTTCAAACTGGAGAATGGAACGCCCATCTTTATACCCATCTACGGACTGCAGCGTGATCCTAAGGTAACTTTGTTGTGGTAAGCAATCATGCTCTAATCAACCATCTCTTGTATAGTACTGGACCAATCCGAATCGATTTGATCCCGAACGTTTCTCGCCCGAGAAACGCAAATCGATTGAGCCCATGGCCTACCAGCCCTTCGGCCTGGGTCCCCACAATTGCATTGGCAGCCGAATCGGACTGCTCCAAGCCAAACTGGGTCTGGTGCACTTCCTCAAGAATCATTTCGTGCGCTCCTGCCCGCAGACCACGAAGGACATTAAATTCGATCCGAAGAGTTTCGTACTACAGCTGGAGGGAGGTCTGTTCCTCGAGATTGTTAACGATAGACTTTACGATGCGAGTGCTCTGTGAGTCTATCCCTCTTCTCGTTTGGTAATATAGCTTTACAGTTATATATTTAGTTTTGTTTTGGGTTTTGCTTTACATTAAAAAGAAAATATGAAAACATTTCCAAGATTTTGTTATTTTATCTGTCCTCTGATTAGATTACCTTGTTCTTTGTAGTAAATAAAACTATTAAATTAAAAGTTAAACGCTTTGACCCTGGCATTCAACTGACAGCTGGCGACGCTTCGAGCCCAGATTTTTACAGATTACTCAATTGCATGATAGCATTTTTTTATAATATTTTACGGGCAATGCAAATCGTTTAAATATCGATTTGAGTCGGGATTAAGCGCTGATTTGATTTATATAAGCTAAAATTCTGAAGCGTTAAAATTATTAAGAGCATGCACAGTGCAGGGCATGTAAATGGGTGCAGTTTGTTGTTAATATTATAATGTATATATAATGTATATAAATATATATATATATATATATATATATATATATATATAAATATATTTATTTATTATAAATAAATATATTTATTATTATTTATTTATTTATTTATACTAGGCACTATAAACCCTATATGATCTGATAGGGAAGCCTTTGTAGAAATTCTAATTTTATTTTCATTCCAAAAAAAAAAGAAAGTAATTATGCCCCTTTAAGCTGATCTAAAATTATTGTTTAATATAGAAATATTTTTTTCTAATATTCATATTTGTTTATATTACTAAAAAACCTTCAGTCCTGCTTTGTTTAATATTTTTTATCATATTTTTTTGTCTATCTCTTTAAAAGTCCTTTAAGGCTTTTATAAAGTTTCTTTTTTATATTATGAAAAAATAATATTTATTATTATATTTAGTGATTTTCGATGCTTTGCCCTTGAAGCTGCTTAAAGAAGGTTCTTTATTATATCATAAGAACGCGTGATTTAATTTGTGATAGTCGAATTTGAGGGGCTAATGATTTTTAGTCGCACTAATGATAATTTGAGCAAAGGTCGGCCCTTATTTATTTGGGGATTACTAGAGGGTGCCGTCGCAGTGTACTTTGATTATCTGTTGCACCTCGTCGCAACTTGCGACACGCAAATATCGGAGGCAATCAAAAGGCATTTTGATGTTCGAATGCTCGTCTTGAGAAATTTAAAATGCGATGACACGCGAAATGGAAACTTAGTGCTATGTCAGTTGCTGACAGGTGAACTATCCGACTATCCGACTATCCGACTCCAACGCCAGCGTATCTCCCATTTAAAGTTCAAGTAAGTTATAGTCAAACGCCCAGCGGATCGCGCACGAGTCTCAGATTGATGCCGCCATCGGCCTGTAGTATTATTGCCTTCGCGTCCAACTTCATGCGTCGCGGTGTGCGCTCCGAAGTTGTCACCAAATGATTGCGCAACACATAGACCAAGCCCACCTTTGCCTGCAAATAGCCATAGCGCTCCCCAATGCATCCATGCGGACCCAAACCAAACGGCATATACGTATACGGTATGTGCAGCTTGCGATTGCTCGAGGAGAAACGCTCCGGCTGAAACTGCCGAGGCTGCGGATAGTACTGCGAGGAGAGAGAGAGACGGCGGAAGTTAGAAGAAGTCTGAAATTGGTGAACAGATGCTGGGAGCAAGGAGTGAAGAGAGTGAAATAAAGAACATTTTTATGAAAACAGTTGTAAAGCGAAGCTAAAGCAAGAAGAGATTTGTAGCTTAGATTAAAGGAAATTTCTTGGGCCTCGATTAATTGATGCCTGAGAAAAGTTTGTAGTTTGTAAAAGAGTAGTTAAGGACGTTAGAGTAAGAGAAATTTAGTAGACGTAAGTTCCTTAGCTAAAGTTCAATGAAAAGTCAGCTTAAGAGATTAATAGAACATTAAGTAAGGAGAAAAGAGAGAAAAGGCATTAGAATGGTTCAATAAAGTTTGCTAGGAAAGAGTATGAAAGGAAACCTTAGAGAGTTGCAGAGCTTAGCAGACTAAGGATGTACAAGAAGAAGTTAGAAGAAGAGGAAGTCTAAGTTTCCAAAGAACAAAATTATAGAAACTTGTTCCAGTATTAACCAGCTAAGAGAAGAACAAGGAATTGCTTGAGGAGAATAGTTAAAAGCGAGGGCTGAAGGTCATGCCAAGAGGAAATTCTAAACTAAAGAGGTCAAGAAAATATAGTTCAGTGAAAGGTACATAGAGGTTGTATTTAAGGATAGATAAATAGTGAAGCCATGAAGTACAAGTTAAGGCAAGACACCTCTATAGATGCATCTTCTATCAAACTTACCTGCGGATCCATGTGCAAGGCATAAGCTGGTATGTAAACGGGCATGCCCTTGGGCACGCAGAACTTGTGAAAGGGCGAGAGGGAGTAACCCTCATCGCTGGTGCACTCGCGGTCGAGAAATGGCAAGGGTGGATACATGCGCAGCACCTCCTGCAAGATCATTTGCATATATTCCAAGGAGTCGATCAGCTGCTGGGTAACGCAGCCTCCGCTGGCAATCAGAGCCTGTTTGATCTCTGCTCTGAGACGTTGCTGCACTTCGGGATGCTTGGCCAGCTCGTACAAGGCAAAGGCCATGGTCGAGGAGGAGGATTCAAAGCCGGCGGTAAAGAAGAGCACAGCCTGAGCCACCAGAATGTCGCCATCGAAGACGAATTTGGATTCCTGAGAGCTACGCTTGAAGTCGATCAGCAGATCGATTAGATCGTTGCGTGTCTGCTGGGACTTCTCTCGCTCGGCCATGACATAGTTGATGGTGTTGCGCAGGAACTTGGTGGCCTCGGCGGGCACCACCTTGAAGCCGAAGTAGGGCACCAGCTGTGGCAAGAAGAAGACCAGCGTGAACTCCGCGGCACGCTTCAAGCTAAACTGAAAGACCGCCCGGCCATGGCGACGGAACTCGCCATTTGGCTGGGTGAAACTGTTCGCCTGGACGCCATAGGCCACCGTTGCAATCACATCCGTGGTGAAGAGAGCACACAGCTCCTTGGCCTCCAGATCGAAGTAGCGCATTCGCTCATTATGCAGCGGCTGCTGGCGCAGATACGCGTCCAGATTGCGGCCAACCTCGTCGATCAGCGGATACATGTGCTTCAGTCGGTTGCTGGTAAAGAATGGGGACAGCTTGAGGCGCACCTCCTTCCACGCCGGGTTCTTCAGAAAGAATATGTTCTGCGAGCCCAACGGATCACCTTTGTAGTCCGAGTTCGAGTAGCGATTGCTGAACTTGGCAAAGTCCTTGACCATGATGCGTTTAATCAGGGCCGGATCGCGTAAGAGCAGCGCCGGCTTATGGAATACATGAATGCCCACAAAGGGCTTGTCCTGGGCATCCGCATGGTTGTACAGCTCGCCCATAAAATCCGCCGGACTGCTACGCAAGCTCAACAAGCCGCCCAAGTTGCCCACGAGCAAGCGAGGACGCAGCTCCGGCACTCCACGAACTATCCAATAGGCATAATGTTGCCGCAGATAGCAATATCCACACACCAGGATAAAGATCACCAGAAGCAGCACCGTTCCAAGCGTCATGCTCAAGCTATGCCCAGCTACTGTTCGCTGCGTTTGCCGTTCCATGCGGTGTTTATCCTCAGCTCGCAGTGGAAGATTGCGATCGGGGTTAAGCTAATTGCGTCACGAGTTCAGTTTCTATTCTCGGTTTTAAGTTTTCTGAATGAAATGCGCTTTTCATTGTATATTCCTCTTCTTCTTATTCTTCTTCTTTTTGTTTCTTTTGTATTCCACATTTCATTGAACTTTACTTTGTGAGCTTATGTAAGAGATGAGCTAGCAAAGCATATTCAAATTTTATGTAGTCTTCACATTAATGGTTAATTTGATTGATGCTTCAGGAAAATGAGGTTATGTTTGAGTTAATGTGAGGTTAGGTATTCGAAAGTCTATCAAATTAAAGGTAAATTAAGTTATATTAATCAATTTCTACAAGTTTAGTTGTATACGTTATGAATGAATAAGACACAATTGTAGATTGGCAGAAATTTTCAAAAAGTGAGGTTAGAAATGTAACTTTGTGAGGTTATGTAGTTAGTACATGGTAAGCAATATTTAAATTCAATTAATCTCTGTAGGTTCGTCTACATTAAGTATTATATTACTCATCTATATACAGAGCTAAACTCTGAATATATATACTTTAGAGGATTTGCCCAATATCTTCTCATTCGACCTTCTTCAATTGCAGCTCTCGATCTTCTATCTTCCATCTACCGCCCTCTATCTTGCAGCTATGTTAGCTTTCTCCTGGGGTCTGCTGCTGTTGTTTCTGACGCTGCTCTTCACCTACCTGTATCTGGAGCAGCGCTACAGTTACTTTCGTCGTCATCGACTTGTACATTTGCCCGCCTCGAGGTGGACGCCATTTGGTCATCTGAAGCAGCTGCTGCTGCTGCGCATCTCGTTCGGAGATCTCTTCAAGGAAATCTATGCGGATGCTCGCATTGAGCAGGCAAAGCTTGGCGGCTTCTATGTATTCCAAACGCCGGCGCTAATGCTGCGCGATCCGGAACTAATACGCCTGGTGCTGATCAAGGAATTCAATAGCTTTCTCAATCGTTACGAAGCCGCCGATGCTCATCATGATCCAATGGGGGCCCTGACCCTGCCCTTGGCCAAGTATCCGGTGTGGCGCGAGAGTCGTCGGCGCATGTCGCAGATGTTTAGCAGTGGGCGGATGAAGCGGCGCATGTATCCCATGATGCAGCAGGTGCTGCTCGAGCTGGAGCAGCATCTGGGTCGCCTAATGGCCGGAAAGATGGAGCAGGTGCTGCCGCTGAGTGAGATGTGCCAGCTGTATACGAGCGATGTGACGGGCAGATTGTTCTATAGCTTGGATGTGGGTGGACTGCGTCATGGTGAATCACTGTTAAGGCAACAGACCAAGCAAGTGCTCCATCCAAATCCCATAAAGGTGCTGCATCTCCTCTGCATCTTCTTTTTACCACAATGGACTTGGTTGCTGCGCGCCAAGCTCTTTGCCGCCAGCTATTCGCGTTTTATGAGGCAGCTGGTGGAGAGGCAGCGGCGTAAAGTGAGTAACTCTCTAACAGATGTGGATGTCGATCTGATTGCACTGCTGGAGCAGCTGCAACATACGCAGCATTCGGATTTCACAGCTTCCCAAGCGGGTATCATTTTACTCGCTGGCTTTGAGACTTCGTCCTCCATGTTGGGCTTCACGTTGTACGAGCTGGCCAAGCAGCCGGCGTTGCAGCGACGCTTGAAGCAGGAGCTGGCCACAGCCTTTGGCAAGGACGCGCAGCTAAGCTATGAGACAGCGTCCACTTTGCCTTATCTCAAAATGGTTTGCCAGGAGGCCTTGCGCCTCTATCCCGCTGCTGCTTTCATTAATCGCGAATGCACACGGCCCGAGGGCTTCTCACTGCAGCCGCACATTGACTATGTTATACCAGCTGGTATGCCGGCCTATATATCCATATTGGGCATACAGCGCGATGCCAAGGTGAGAGTGAAATATTGATACATATAGTGAAAACTTAAGATTTACATATGCAGTGAAAGCTTCTATAAAATTGACTAATAAGACAGTCAAGCATATTTGGATATTACTAGGAAAATCCAATATGAAGCGAGTTTATCTATGTATTGTCTAATTGGAAAAAGCAAACTACATGTACACTAATTCCCATTGCTTATTTCCCAATTGGAAAACAAGTACGGGTTGTTTGCAGTCATTGAACTGATATAAATTAGCTAATTGGAATGCATAACAAAACATTCTAATCAGATGGTAGACCATACTGACGTTATACTTTAACTGTAAAACTCTAAGTATACTAAGTCTTTAAGTAAACCCTCACTAACTCTTCATAACTCTTTTTTAGTACTGGCCCAAACCTTTGCACTTTGATCCGGAACGTTTTGCGCCGCCACATTTAAAAAATATAATACCCATGACATATATACCCTTTGGCGCTGGCCCACATGGCTGCATAGGCAGTCGACTGGGCTTGCTTATGCTCAAACTGGGCGTGGCTCACATACTGCGCTCGCATCGTGTCGAAGTGTGTGAGAAAACTGTGAGCCAAATACGTTTCAATCCAAAGAGCTTGATGCTCGAGTCATTGGATGAGTTATATTTACGTTTCTGCATCGATTCCATGTAGTTAACACTAATTTATGTACCTATCTAAATATAGCGGCTGGGAAATACGATTATTAAACTATCTGTGTAAGTACTATAAAAATGATCTTTTTATCTATCAAATCGAGTCAACAGGTTTTGTAGTCAAGTCAAATATTAAAAGTATTACAAATTGGATCTGTAGACACGCGAGGTCTATTGGGATATATATACATATATTTATATATATATATTTATACCTTAAGTATTGCATGTTATCGGAAGGGAACTTTTTCTGACAGTTAGTGAACCAAAGAATTTTAATTGTTAGACGTTTAGTGATGTACCTAAACACTTTATATATATATATATATATATATGTATATATCTGAGGAGTTAATCAAAACATACCTCGGTCACTGATCAATGCAAAATATAAGTTATTATTATAGATTTTTCATTACATAAATATAGCTCAATTTGTTTTTATTCTTTCCAAATACCGCTCTTAGCTTGGATGTTTAAGTGCCTATATATAATCGTATTTTCCATGGGGTTACTGATGCCATTTTATATTCAGGTAGAATGCTGTTCCAGTCGTCCCAGCTTCTCCTCTATGTCCTTGATGCGACAGCGTACCTCGGGCGCTGAGTCCCGCTGAAACTTGCTCAGATTTGTTTCGAAATTTTGCTTGAGCAGCGCCAACGTAGCCTGATCCCTGGTCAAGCTGAGACGCTTGATCAGCATCAGGACAATATTGAGTGCCTCTTTTTTGAGTCCTGTATGGGGTACGCCAGCGGCGAGAGTGACAGCTGCTAGGACATCACTGCAGATCTTCTGCACGATGGCCTCGCGGGTATGCAATGGTGGCGCCTCCGTCTTCGGTTTCTTTTCCAAATTATTACGCTCGAGCGGTATGTCGGGTAGATTGGCTGTCTCGTCGAAGATGTGTAAGCGCTCCACGTACTTGGTTAGCGCAGCCAGCAGGCTCACCTGTACAGGTCGTGTGCTCTCACTCAAAATGCTCGTACAATTCTCGGCGAAAAAGAGTTGATATCTGTGCTGAGTCTCGATTGCATGCTTGGGCCACGATTTGCCAAGGGTCTCCCAAACAGCCTCCTTCAATTTGTTAAGCGTTTGAGCGCGTTTGTTGCGCTCATCGGCTGTTAAGTCCTTGCGAACTAGGCTACTACAGCCAGCTTCATCATCATCATCTGAGTCAACAGCGCGCAGCTCCTTCTTCTCCAGCAAATACCAGATCATGTTGTATACCTCCTCAAAGCGATCCGCCTCCAGCACATCCAATATTTCCCCGAGAGCAGCCAATGCCATAGTACGATAGACAGGCTCTTGTTTGCGTGCCTCACGCATTGCTGCATCAATAATTTTCGGACAGATCTCGTGCTGGCGATCAAGTTGCTTGCATAGTGCAGCCAATGCCTGCAATAGACGCTCCTTGCCCTCGAAAGTGCGTCCCTGAACTCCGCTGAGCAGCAGCTTGATGAGTCGCACACGATCCTCAGTCTCGAGGGAGCTGCCGAGACGGACTGCAATATTCTGGATGACATTGGCTGCCTGCGCTTTGCGCGACCAACTGGCATCGGTGAGCGAGGACTCAAGCTTGGGTAGGATGACAGGCAGATTGACTCGAATGCCCGCATCACCAGGACTAATGTCAATCCACAAATCCTTCCAAAGCTCAATGTTCGCCTTGTTCTCTTCGTTCTGCTCCTCGTGCATGGCAAAGAAGATTAACGGGAGCATGCAGTCCATGTAGTCCTTGAGCAGTTCATGGTTTCGCTTATTAATCGATTGTATGGTCAATGCAATGGAGCGATTATTCGGCTGCTCCATATACAGCTTGTCCAGTTTGGTAAAAAGATTCTTAATTGATTGTTCCTGTGAAGGATTTTTTGGTAGGGGTTAAGCACTGAGCAAGGCATAAGTTAACCTGCACTCTTACCTTGGCCAATCCCATCAGATGTCCAATGGCGCTTGCATTGTATTTGCGCACTGTGGCATTGCGATCCTTGATGCCGCCAAGACAGGCGCTCAAATATTTGCCCACTAGCGGCGTCATCTCTTTGCCCAGACGTATGCTGACCTGTAACGATGAAAGTCAAGAGGAGCATCAGTTTCTGTATACCAAAAGGATGAGGATGAGGCCAATTTATATTGTTGACAAGTTGGGTTGAGATTGGAGAGTTTGTGTCTTCTTCCCTTACCAGACAAACGAAGTGTGCGCAACCAATTTTGGTGCCCAGATTAACGCTGCTTTTCATCAGCTCCAGGAGCTCCGGTGTCATGCGCTCTAGCACGGGGTAATCAATGAATCGCACACACTTGCTGATCGTCTCCATGGTATGATGGGACTTAGCTGCCTCAGCGCGCAGGCTGTCAACAGCTTCCTGTGCCTCATTGTCGCCGCCCAAACGTGTGGATACATACGAGAGCTTGGTGTTTTCCAGCTCGCCTGTAGCGCGCAGCATACAGGGTATAAGAGTGGCAAGATGTGGTGCAATCATAGCGCCCGACGAGTCAATCATTTCCGATATAGTCTTAATGCTGACCTTGCGTATGTCAGCAACTTTGTGACCAACGCCAGTCTCTAGTAGATAGGGAAGAATGGAAGTGGCGACCGCAGTGCCAGTTTTTCCATGCTCTGCGGAGGCAGCTAGGACGCATAGCTTGCCCAGAAATGAGGCTGTGCCTTGGGCAGTCATGCGTGTGCCCTCGTGTATGTCATCCATGACGCGGAATAGTTGATACCAAAGCTCACGCAGCTCCGGTTCAGGCAGCTCATCCACATCCATCGTGTCGGGCGTTACGCGACGAGGCGTGCCTGAGGCAGCCGCAGAAGATGACGATAGTTTCTCTTCGGAACGCAAACGCAAGCCATTGGAACGCTTAAGCAAATCCCGCACAGCCAAGCAGCATGCAATGCGGACACGCCATTCCGTGCAGGTCAGATTGTCGAGGAGTTCGCGCAAGATCTCCCAATAATATTGCTCGGTTACTTCCTTGGAGTCGTTGACAATGGTATCCCATATAGATATCATGGAGTTTTGGATTTTGGGTGTCGGATCGTATTTATAACGATATAGACGTGGTATTATCTTGCCCAAATAGGGTTGCATCTTCTGTCGCGACTCCGCGGAGAGCGTCTTCAAGCCAAATGCTGCGCCCAGCTTGCTGGTCCAGGTAGCATTATGATTGGCCAGCTGCATAAACTGATAAATCATGTCTGGCTGATTGAGATCGGAGGCAAGCGAACAGAGTTCCTTATAGGTGGTGATATTGCCACCCGTTGGCGTCTTGCCTAGCATGCCCTCGGCAAAGAGTTCTGTATCGCCAGTGACCTGATTCACCTGCCTCTTACCACCAATCAACTGATCCAGCAAAGAATTAGCCAGATCCGTTTGACTGTTCGAATCGGAGAGAGTGTAAACCAACCCCAAGCCACGGGAAGCTACATCTTGAACGAATTCTGTAAGCAAATAAGAGTTGTTTTTCAATAAAAATGAATGTTTTTTAAATTTAATATAAATTCTACGCACCGCTATCATCCGACAGCAGTTCCGTAAAAGCAAACTGCAGCAGTTGCTTTTTGTTCAGCACAGCGGGTCGATTGCTGCAATGCTTGACCACAGCGAGCAGCCAAACTGATATGGCCTGTCGCGATTGTGGATTAGGTTCGCTAACCAAGCGTATTAAGGCGATCAAGAATTGCTCGAAATCTGCATCGTTGCAATGGACATTCACAAAATCCGCCGTTGGTGGACCCCTGTTCACATCGTAGCCACACAATGTGCTGACAATTGCTTCCGAGATGGCAATATTTAATGCCGCATCCTTTTGAACCTTGGCCAGCGTTAGGAACTTGTCCAGATTGCGTTTTGTAAAGTGTGCGCCATCTCCAATAGCCAAATAGCCCAAGCATTTGGCTGCCTCTTCGCGTATCTTCTGTCTAACGGAGGTGCTGCGCAGCAGCTGAAAGATAACGCTGAATATTATCATTTTCGTGGATATCTGAATGTTCTCTGTGTCGGTCATCTCTGCATCTTCATCGTCATCGTTGTTGCTGGTGCTGCATTGAATTTCCACTGGCACGTTAGGTATCTCAACCATTTTGCCAATCATTGAGGTGCATTTGACAGCTGCTGAGATGAGCAGCCACTGCGATTCGGTTAGCATTTTAGCTGGGAATGGACAATTGGTGTTATACATTATAATCGCAGATATAAATTACATTAACCCTTACCAATAATCTTCACAGCATTTACGAACTGAATCCAATTGGTATAGTCCTTGCTCGACTTTTGCTCCCGCAATTGCTCAATTTTGCGATTGAAACTATGACCCAAGACTAAAAGCCAGCCATGCTTATGCTCAAGTGTCTTTTGCGTTAAGCTGTTTAGACAATCGCCCACCTCCTGATCAAATTTATCACTCGGTAGCCCGTAAGCCCAGAGTATGCCGTAGACCTGGGCAACATTAAGACGCATTGTTTCGGAAACATCTTTTAGCGAATTGCCCAGCGGCTCGAGCAGATGCAATTGCTTCGGTGCAAATACCTCGGGTGCAGCATTCAACAGATCATAGAGACATAATAGAGTGGAATCAGCTAAAATATATATAGAAATGTTGTTGTTAAGAGATAAACTGAACAAAAGATAATTGACTCTCTCAAGAGTGCGCAGACAGGCAGACAAACTTAGTTTACAGATGGACTTCAATTAAATCTGAGTGAATTGTTAGCCTCGATTATAGATATGCTGGAGCACGACTTGCTTGATGGCTTTGATTATGAATATAATTTCTTTACTATATACTGGCATACAAGACTTACTTCGCTTAGCCTCCACTCCGCGCTGCACAAAGAGTAAATATTGTTGCAGGGCATTTGACTCCACGTTATCGTAGTTGGTGATTATATATTTGCGCAGCTCTGGAGTATGTTTCTCGTCGCCCGGTGCGGCGACAATGCCCGCCGAATACCACAAACAGAGACGCAGATAGTCGAGTATCTCCTCGTAGACTTCCAGGCTATAGGGTAGCTTAGTCCTTCCAAAAACAACGCAGGCGCTGCTCTTCTTCAGTCGCTTGTTGGCCATGTCATGGACATGGGACATCATAATATTAAAGCTGGGAAGCAAGACGCGTCGCTGTTCGAGTGATAAATGATTAAAATCGCTAATCGATTCGCTAGTATGTTTCCCTGTATGCTCAATGGAAGACAGCATGCTATAGTTAACATGATCCTTCTTCGACGTTCCATACAAATAGGTAGTCACATTCTCTCGCAAGGAGTTACTACATATAGAAGGATCGAAATAGATTAGATATGCATATATATAGATATATTAGATAAAGCGCACCGTTCTCCTGCAATGAGCAGCAACAAATAACGTGCTGGTGCATAGAACTCTGGATAGCAGCTGGTGAGGAAGACACTTGTCACATTCTGCACAATTTGTATCTTGGACTCGGCATTGTCCAGCAGCATGGCCAGTAGCAGATGCTGTTGTCCATCTAACTGCACCTCTCCTGGATCGCCTTGCTTGTCCACATCCATGGCATCTGATTTGGTCTTCGTTTGCCAGGCAAATGCTGGCGCCATGGACACCAAAGCCTCGCGTATTGAACTATGCAAATCGGGTGCGCACGTTGCTAGATTATTAAAGTAGCCAAGCACTAGCTTCAAATCCTGGCTAACATCCTGCGGAAAGCTGCGCGCGTGTTGTGCTAAAGCGGAATAGGCTGCATTTTGTACATCATTTGGCTCTACAGAGTCGCGTCCAATTACTTTTGTGATGCCAGTTAGCAGAACTTTAGATACCTTGGAGACGACTTCACGTGGACCCCTGCCGAAGTGAGAAAAATAAGCGATTAGCAAGGGCATGTTGTATATTATTGATGTTCTATCTGACTTACTCTCTTAGCACCAATTCCACGAATTGCAGTGCAAGGACTTTACACTTCTGATTGGTATTGTTGCCAAAGAGCCCATCGAAGATCACTTGTAAACCCTTGCCCACGTAGATGCCTTTGCCTCGACACTTGATCAGATACTGCAACAGCTTTTGACGCACTCGAGCGCAACAGGGACGCGTCTGCCTCTCCGTCAACTGATGCTGATTGCCAATGAATAGCGTGTATAGAGAGGATGTCACAGCTGGGCTACTAAAATCCAACATAGTGCACAATTTACTTAGCTCGGCAATGGCTGGCGTGGCCACACTGAAGCGCGTATCAGCTGAAGCAACCACGAGAAGCACAAAAACCTCATTATCAGTGAAAACTCCTCCGCACAGAAAGCGTACGATGCCCTTCTTGATCTTCTCCAGCTCCTCGGCACGCCAATTGTTTGCAATGACACGCTTAAAGCTATAAGGACTAAGTCCTGGTGGCACATCCTGATCTTGTGTGATGCCATAGGGGAGCAACAGCACATCCTGCAGCAAGGTTAAAAAACTGGCAGTAATTGCCGGCTGCTCTTGCAATTTAAACAAATCGCCACGCTGTGCCGGATCATCGGGTATCTTCATTTCACTCAATATAGGCAGCAACAGCGTAAATAGCTTATCCTGATAGTTCTCCAGCTTGCTTTCGCAGCCGACCACCTTGGCAGCTAGCTTTGTCTGTTCCTCCAGCGGCAGGCGAGGAAAACCCATGCTAATGAAAATGATGGCAAAGTTCTTAAGGAATGTGGTGTTCTCTGCTCCTGCATATTGATCGAGGAGTGCTTCCACTGGTATCTGCACCTGGCCACGTGATGTGAGGCGACGCTTTATATGTGTCAGTACCTCGACCACCTAATTGATATACAATAGATCTAAGCAAAATTGTGCTAAGTCATTCAGGGATATGATTACCTTAGAGCGCACAACATTGTGCGGAGAATTGATTTTGATGATGACGGGTGTCAGGAATTTACCCACTGTCGATTCGAGCTTCTCATCGCTATCCGCATTGCCCAGACGCAATAAAACGCGTTCAAGCAGTTCTGCACAAAGAATGCAAAAAATTTTAGATAGTTTTTAATTGCTGATTATTTTTCATAGAGACCAACTAGCTTAATTGCTAACTGTGTCAAGACACTTTACATAAGCTAAATATATGTTTGAATGCCAAATTTGATTAAAATATATAGTAGTTTTACCAATTTCTGCATTAGGTCCCGCTGTTTCCATTTTGCCTTTTTTCTGGTTTATTTTTTTTTTGTTTAGCGTCTGAGTGAGTGTTGCCAGTGCATCGTAGACAGCTGAGTGCAAAAACATGACGTTGCCAGACTATCGAATAGCAAGTCATTCGCTCTGCTTCTTTCCTTTGGAAAGTTGCGCGCTATTTAAATTGCATGTACGATCGTACTAAAGTTCAAGCAGCTCCGCAAAGTAATGGACTGCAAATAGCTTTGGTTGTGTGGTGATGCCAGATTATCAAATGATAAGTATATATTTCTAGGTGTCATTAAGGCGCGCAATTTGAATGGTGTATAGAAAAATACTTACAGAAAAATTACTTTAATTTTTTTTGTGCGAACCACAAACGTTAGCATAGTTTCAAAAATTCAGCATTTGGGAAACTGAAATGAGCTCAACCTGTACAAGCAATTACTTCAATTTGTACTTTACTGATGTTTCTATTCCCATGTCAATAAGATAAAAAATTATATTTCTATTTTAATCAAGTGTCCTTTATTTTAAGTAAAGTAATATTTTGTATAATCCAAGGGTTCTCTTGAAAGTCATCAATGGAGAACTGAAAAATGATAAAGGAGAGTTTTAGTATAAAACATAAACATAACATAACGAATTTTGATTAAATTTTCAGTATTTTTACATTAAGTAAAAAGAGTCAAGGTTCTTCAGCAATTTGTTTTATGAAGACCGTCATGATTTTATCATCAATAAAATTAGAATTAAGTTCTATAATTAATTTACTTAATACACACCTTTTCAAGATAAGTGGTTAATGTTGCCGGCTGAAAATTCTGAAAAAAGGAAATTCTACAAAGTTGAATGGTTAAATTTACATTTTTTTTGTTTTATTCAAAAAGAATAATGCTACAAATATTATTTTCTTCCATAGCGGTTGTCCTCACTTAAAACTTCTTGAAGCTCTTCTTAGCGCCCTGACCCTTGCTAACTTTCAACACGTTGAAACGCACGGTCTTTGAGAGAGGACGGCACTCGCCAATGGTGACGATATCGCCATGCTCCACATCTCTGCAAGCACAGAAAACGAAATAAATATATTAATAAATTAAAAATTGAGTAAAAAGCTGATGAGTTAAACTTTAAATTAGTTGTCAGTATTTTTACTTTTAGTAAAAATGAGTCAAGTTTCTTCAGCAATTTGTTTTATGAAGACCGTCATGATTTTATCATCATAGTAGATGTAAATATATAGGGTTGTGTCAGGTTTATAGAGTATATATACCTGAAGGCGGGAGAGCAGTGGACGCTCATGTTGCGATGACGTTTCTCGAAACGACTGTATTTACGCACAAAGTGCAGATAATCGCGACGAATGACAATAGTACGTTGCATTTTAGTTTTGCGTACAACACCGGTAAGGATGCGGCCACGGATTCTCACATCACCGGTCCAGGGGCACTTCTTGTCAATGTAGGTGCCATCAATGGCCTGCACGAAATGAGAAAAAGGATTAGATGGAGTCATGTTTTATATGTTAATAATATAGTGTAATTTCTGTTGTTTAGCATGCATTACCTCACGGGGGGTTTTGAAGCCGAGACCAACATCACGGTAGCGACGGAGCACCTTCTTTTTGGTGATGCCGGGCTTGACCTTACGGTTTAGGTTAACACCGAACTGCTTTTGGAAGGCGCGCTCGTTCTGTTTAGCATGGTATACAAGTTACATTGGTTGCGGGGTACACAAACGTGCAGGTGGGGCATGGAACGGAAGAAAAACGAGGGGGGCGCAACATTAGTTAAATTTGCTTTGGAGCGCTTACCTCGGCTGGTACTTTAAAGCCCAGCCCAACTTGACGATAGAAACGCAAACGTTTCTTGCCATTAACACTCTTACGACGTATTGTCGGCACTGAGTGCTGCTTGCGAAATGAGCGTTCTGTTTGCTACAAAAATAATAATCAAATTCCAAGTGTATTTAGCAGCGTAAACAGCATGCGTTGAAGTGTGGTTAGGTTGAATGTGAGCCTCACTCGCTGTTGCTTCTCCTTTTAGAAAACAATGCATTCGCAGCGCGGCATATTACACAGCAAATGTATTGTTCAACTCACAACGCACTTAATTTCACATTTCACAATAAATTTGTGTTATAGCAATGCTATAAATGACGTATTTTATTTAATTTCGGACACATTTTCGCTGTCTTACCTGATCAGCCATGTTGGAGCAAGAGGAAAGAAAGAGCACGCGTCAAAATAGAGATGGACGATATATCATAAGCGGTTACATATCGCAATGTATTTTAGAGCAATGGTTACTTTTGACTGTAACGAGGTGAATGATTTTGATAGTGAATTTTGAAATGTTAAATATTAAGTTTTCAATTTAAAGAATTTTTTGATTGAGTTTTTACTATAGTGTTTTTTTATTATAGTTATAATATTATATTTGTTAGTTATTTTATGTTATGCATTGATTATATTTTATCGAGGTTGCATTCAAACGACAGAATCATTTGATTTTGACACTGCGACTTTATGGTCACAACATCGTTTTAAAGACTATCGAATCTGTAGAATTGTTACATATCGATATCAATATGCTGATATTTGCAAATGTATCGCATAGGTAAATGTAAAACATATCGATGTATGCGATGAGCCGCACTTAGAGATGCATTTGTATACGCGCGTGGTTCAAAATGCTTTTTGAAAAGTAGGACAACAATGAATTTGGACTCTTTTTAGATTTTACTGCACTTTAGAAGCATTTATGTGAAATGTTTGCCGTTGCTGCCGCAACATTTGCGAAGCTATTGACCTTCTGTTAACGTTGGCATTGACTTTGATTTTGGCACATAGCTAAGATTTTAAGACGCAGTCGCGTCACATTGAAAGCACTTTAAAACCACTTGAGTGGCTTTCGAAGAATAGAAAAAATCTTTTGTGCGTTCACTTTGCAGTTTGTCGTTTGCTCTCTTCACAACCATATATGTATTGGTGTGTGTGTGCGTGTATGAACAAGTAAAATTAAAAATTGCGTCAGCATTAATTCTTGTCATATGTCGGATTAAATATAATGACAACATAAACAAGTGCAAGTAGAGCAAAGCAGGGGATTGCCTTGAAACGATGTCCTGTGTGCCTAAGGCTTCAAGGCGAACGCAGATGCGCTGCCATTGCTATAAATCCGTTTACGGCTAAACGTCACGGATGAAGGCCAGCCAGCATGCCTGCCTTTCCTGCCTTGCCTGCCCGCCTTCCAGCCTGCCAGCCTGCCTTCCTGTCGGCCTTCCAGCCTTCCTGCCTGCATTTCATTGCCATTGTTAGTGCGAGTGTCTGCAGCATAATATTATGGCCAGTGAGCCAGGTTCGACCTTAACCCGCAACAAATGGAATGGAATGGGCGTTGGGCGTGGCATGAGTTGCTGTCAAGGTTTTTATTTTTGCAAGCGACCTTACTCGTTGGCAAGGTAAATTTAGCTGCATTGCAAAAGGCAATGAAATTCTTTCATATTTTATATTTTTTTGTATTATTTTTCCACCATATGACGCCTATTTGGCTGCAGGTAAAACTAACACACATGATTAAATTTAAATAACCAATGCAAAGCTTTACATTTCAGTAATAAAAAACAAAGCTCTCAACTTTTTCACTTATTGTATTTTTTATGTTAATTGTTATTGCTGTTGTTGTTTGTATTGGACTTTGTAGTAAATGAAAAAAGTTTAATGGGCGAAAGTTTGTGAATTATGGCAAATGCGAACTGTACAATATGTGTACGAGATTTAAATTCAATCTGAAATATGGGGCAGATGCGATTTTAGACTCATCTGCTTTATTCTGTATATTCTATACTCGTTCATGCACAGAAAGGAGTATATCACTATATAATATATATTATATATTATATTATAATATATTATATGATTTTCTTATACTTAATTAATAATATATAATAATAAATTTACCAAATTTCGATAACTTTTGCATTATATACCTACTTTGCCTTGGTTTTATGTTTGGCTGTTTCTCAATCGCCGTTGATTTTCAAGTTAATTTTGTAATATTTTCGCATATAAATATCATGTTAATTCTCTTTAAAATTGTAGGGTATCTATTAATCGGCTGAGACCCTTTTACAGGCTCTTGTTTTTTTAGGCACTTCAAAGTAAATTAAGAAAATAATTTCCCTACCGCATGGAGACAATGTGAAAAACAAAAACAAGTAAGAAAACTCTTGTCGGGCTTGACTGACTGCATAATACTCCGGTCAACCAGTTCAGAAGGCGTGGACGATATTTTAACTACGGAATATATAGCTTATTTAACATGAACATTTTAAACTGTGTTTATATTCATATGAATTTAAAATATCCAAAAATCTAAAAAATTTATTCCACAATATCCCAAGAGTTTGGATACAAAATGGATCTAGCTTAGAGAGCGTTTAACAGGCACTAGGCATTGATCTACTGATATACTTTTCGAGCAAGTATAAAAAAGAGAATGATAACGGCATTAAGCGTGCAGCTTAACGGTACATTAGGTAAACAGTCTTGTCAACATTCTGCTGAACTCTCTTTCTCTCTCTGCCTGCCTCTCGTATAACTTAAAATGGCGCCCAGCCAATGACCCTGTCAAGGATGTGGGTGTTCAGAGGCTGGCCACGTCTCCACCTCTTACTCCCATTCCCATTGGGGCTCCGTCCCCTTTTGGGGATCTGCTGGTTTTCCGTTGTCTAAGTGTGCGTGCATTTGAAAAGTGACCGAGATAATTTTTGGCATGCTTTGTTTGCTTTTACTTTTGCTGCTTCACAAAACAGAGGCCGCCCATCCACAGTTCCCTTTGCCATAAAATTTTGATGAGCAGCTGCTGTATTTTGGGTTGTGGTTTAGCCCAGGGTTTGGGCTCGGGCTCCGGAACAAATAAATTGGTGCGACTGCAGGCGGGAGGATTCTACCTTTATCAGCGACAAACAACAGGAAAGTGTGCTTAAGTATGTAAATGCCAGACTAGGAGATAGTCTACAGCTAAACATGTTTATAAGGCACAGCAAATTCTATCTTTAAAAATTAGTTCTTCACAGCAAACTTTATACCATAGGTATATGAACTAAACTTAG